CTATTTAGTCCGGACCCAAACCCATTGGACCTGGTCCAATAGGATTTGGGTCTAAGCTCATTAGACTTAGTTTAGGATCCAATTAGCTGGCCCCAATGGGTTTTTATTTTCATTATTTAATATATATTTTTTATTTTTTTTATCTATTAATATTTTTATTATTTATCTGCTTTTATTTTTTATTATTTATCTATTTCTTTTATTTATCTAATTTTTTTTTGTTATCTATTAATATATTTATCTTTTTATTTTGATTAATTTTTGGTTAAGATTAGAATAAAAAATTGGAATGAATTTGGCTATAATTTGAGAATTGACAGAGTTGGGATTGGATTCAAAGATTGAATCCAAATCCCATAAAGAGTTGGGATTGATCAAAAACTCTTCTGATCAATCCTTATAAATAGGTGCTGAAAGAACAAAAGAAAACACACAGAAAAACACAGACACAAAGAAAAAACAGAAGCTAAAAAAAAGTTTTGGTGTGTTAGAATCTCGAGCAGAGTCTCCGAGCTGTTTTTCTTTCTCAAGTCGAGCCGAGTTGAGCCGCTAAGCCGAGCCGTTCTTAGGTTTTTTTTTCGTTATTTATTTATTTATTTATTATTATTATTATTAGATTAGAATTGTTTAATATTCTTTTATTTTTATCTTTATTTTACTTTTCTTTATTTTTATTTTCATTTTTATTTTATTATTTTATTTTCTTTAAATAAAATTCAAAAAAAATATTTTTAGGAAAAAGTTGAAAGTATCAATTTTTCTTAAAAATAAATTTTCAAAAAAAGTTTTTTGAGAAAAAGTTGAAAGTATTAATTTTTCTTAAAAATAAATTTTCAAAAAAGGTTTTTTTTTAGGAAAAGTTGAAAGTATTAATTTTTTTCGAAACTAAAGTTTCCAAAAAATATTTTTGGGAAAAAGTTGAAAGTATCAATTTTCCTCGAAATTAAAGTTTTCAAAAAAATATTTTTAAGGAAAAGTTGAAAGTATCAATTTTTTTAAGAATAAATTTTCAAAAAAAAAAGTTTTTTTTGAGGAAAAGTTGAAAGTGTCAATTTTTCTCGAAATTAAAGTTTCTAAAAAATATTTTAGGGAGAAGTTGAAAATATCAATTTTTTCTGTACAAAAGCGATCATTTTTCTTTTTTTTTTTTTTTTTTAGATTTTCTTTAATATTAAATAATTCAACGACGAAATCTTTACAAGTGAAACAGTAGTTTCTTACATATTCTTGAGGTGAGAGAATTTTTTCAATTTTTTGCTAAAAGTATTAGAGTCAATTGAGAATAATTTTCAATAACTAATTACTTGATAAATTTTTAAGGCTTATTGAATAACACAAAATTAAGTTGGTACCATCTTTTGATGGGCGTTGCGAGGGTGCTATAATCTTCCTCATACGTAACCAAACTCTCGAACCCTGTTTTGGTTAGTAGACCCGACCTATTCTTTTAAGGACCCTTAAACTTAGGTGTTCCCTGAAAAGATAGATTCTTTAAGTGGCCAATCATACCTAAATAAAAAAGATTGATGGTAACTCCTTAAGTCAATATCTAGTTATAGATCTCCGGATCTAAACGTTATGAAAATATGATTTCCACAGGTAGTATCAAACAATCAAAAATTACCTTATATGGCAACATATATGACAGGAACATGAGATTAAAATAATACTTGATTGAAAAAAGTTTAAAGATCAATGGTGGAGATTGTAATGGTCTCAAAAGAAGACTTAAAAGTATTCATTCAGTAGTTGTTGCCACAACAATCTTGTTAATGCAAAGATCATGAATTGGACTACCGTTGCAATGATATTTAGCTATATATTTTTGAACGAAATGGTCAGTCCTCTCACATCGTAAACAAAACTTGTGAAAAGTAGAATTAGTATTTTTTTGAGGAGTAGTAGCAATAATAGTATTAGCACTATGAGTCTGACTCATAGCCAATCGAGTTTCCCTATATATCATTTCCATAAAAGGCATTATCCATAATTGGTAAAGGATGTCGCCACAAAATTGAAGATTTGGTATTATCAAATTTATCTCAAAGTATCATTAGAAATTGAATAAGATGATTTTGATTTTGATAAATAATAAAATTACCAGCTTCACTTTCTTCCTTGAATTTTAGCTCAAAATTCTCAAGCATGTTCTATAAATGTTGCATTTTAAAATGAAAATATCAATCAACTAACTTGGTTCTTGACAAAAACAAAATAAAGTGGTCAAAATATGATATTGATGAACAAAGGTAGTAAAACTATACTGTGATAAAAAAAATCTTAAGCATCTTTAGCAAGTTTAAATTGTCCAAAATATATATTGATAGAAGAAACAGTGGTGTTAGTAACCATGTAAGGATTTGATGATTCTTATTTTCTATTTCTTTAGTCAATATGCAAATTTATCAACAGATTCTTTTTCTTTCCTTTCTGGTTATTTGTATTCTCCAATAACAACAAGCTATAATTTCATCCATTTTAGATAACTACACATAATTGTAGGTCACCGATTGTAATTATTTTCATCAAAGATAATTGAAATTGATTGTACATTTTTTCGTTGAATACCTACCATTAAGCTCTTGATTAGAAAAAAAAAATAGAGATGTGAGAAGTTATGAGTATTGATATAAAAGATAAATTTTGAAGATGGAAAGAGAAACCAAAAAAATGAAGCATGGAAGCAAAAATAAAGTTAGAAAGAAAAATCAACCAAGGATGAAAATAAACAAATATTAGTTATTCCATGATAATTCACCTTAGAATAAACCATGAAATTGCTCTGACACTGTGCTAAAAAAGAAAATGATGAAAACTTTTATTTTAATAACTTTTGTTTTTACAATGAGACTCAAAACCTATTTATACATGAATAAAATATTACAAACTAGGAAATATAATAAATAAAAATAATAATTAAATCAATTCATATAATCAGCTAAATCAATATTTAATATTCTCTAAATCAATTCTTATAATCTGTTAAATCAATATTTAATATTCTTTAAATTAATATCAAATCAATATAAAATATTATTAAAATAATATCATTGATAGATAATATATAAAAATAAATATATAAATCAACTAAATTGAATTTCAAATTTAAATTAGTGATGCTTTAACTCATGCACCGTTGAGCTATCATTCTAGCCTATATATTACTACTATTATCTTTGAGAGGTAACTTTTAGCTCAAAATAACCAAATGTATACCAAAATATAATAAAAGTGAAGCTAATTTTAATAGAGCAAAAAGAAGACATAGGGGTGTACACTCCTATATGTACACCCCACAACCTAGCTATCTCTCCTACTTACTAGTTAGGATATAAATTGTCAACAAAGTCCACTAAAATGTAGTCTTTTCAAGGTAAAATATATATTTGTGCACAAAAATTTATGGCTTTTTGAAATAATTCTCGGGAATATATGCATATTCAAAGTGCATGCAGGCGAAACTATACTATTTCTTTCATTAAGAATTGGTAAATATATTTGATAGTCAAATTTTAAACTTTATTATTTTTTATTAAAAAATAAATATAAAAATATATATATTTCTTTCATTTGACTTCCAAAATATAAAACTTAGATTCTAAATTAATTTAATTAACAATTTAAGTAAATAATAATTTGCTCATGTCAGTGGAAATAAGAAAATTATTGTTTAAGTTGTCATATCCATTTTAAAGATGTATATTACCAAAAATATTGATTTGCACATTGTGATACATGCATATTCCAGCTCTTCCACCTCATTCCTTTGTTTTTAGTTACAAACTTATCATCCAATACCCCCTCTTTTGTCTGGAAATCTAGTACTACAAAACTTTAGTTAGAGTGAAGTGTTGGAAATGTAGCAAACATTATCCAATACAATCAGAAATTGGAAACCAGAGTGTAATCAAAAGGAAATGCACCGTAATAATCACTTCCCACAAGAGGGAAGGGCTTTAGTTGATATGAACAAGACGTCAACAATGACGACATATCTCCAACAACCTTAGCATTCTTTACCCAATTTAAGATTAGTAAAAGATTGAGGTTCTTCCACGCAGCTGCACTTCTTTAAGTATATGTATTTTCACTCACCTCTCGAGCCACGAATGAGCAACATATGGTTAAAAGTTAAAAGCCATGGAGCATTGGCTAAGCCAAAGGAGAGAGTTATGGCTTGGCTAATAGTTAGTAGACATGGAAAGTGGTGAAATACCACCTAATTGGACAACAAATATGACTTGCATGTCCAAATGCAGAGGCCAACCGTACCCACATTTTTTATTGACTTCAAGGTGGTCAGTTTTGGGATCCCAAACCCTTTAAATTGTGTATTCTTTTTTTTTTTTCTTTCTTTTTTGGTTCCTTGCTCATAACCACAATCGCCCCTCACCTTTTCTCTTAATTACCCAATTAGGAAAGCCTAATCCAAACCTAGTTTAATCAAGGCCCCGGGGATCACACAATTAAGACTCTCGCATAGAACTTCAAACAAGGATAAATTGGATTAGAAAATGTAGATTTCATAGCATCATTCTCTAAATTCTATTGTAATTAATGAAAACTTTACATTATGTTTGCTTCACTATGCACACCGTTGAGCATGTAGGATGAGGAAAAAAATCTTCCTGCTACCTTTTATGGGGATTTTGTTACCAAGTACTCTATATCCACTTGGGGGTGGAATATGGTTGACATAATTTTACTAGATAATAACTAGCCTGGCCAGTTTTTTTTTTTTTTTTTTTTTTGGTCATGTCACCTGGCTAGTTTCAAACATACAATTTTAGATGTGACACTTTCTTCTGTCTCGAATTAATATATCAAATTGTAACACATCAAGGGTATTGTTGTTATTCAAACAACAATGAAGTCCAATCTTTTGCTAGGGTCTTAATGTGAACAAACAACAAGTCCTACTCAACAATATAAATAATGAACGTTACTTCCTAACATATCCACTTCTCTAGCATAGAACAGCCATTACCAAAGTTAAGAGAAAGAAAAAAATAATAATAAGAAAGAAAGAAGGAAGGAGAAAGGAGAGAGAAAGAACAGAAGATTATCAAAGGATGACAACCCAAATGAATGAGCTTCATGATCAAATGGCTCTTATCTCCCAAATGTATCCTGGCGTATACTCTCAAATTGCACCACAGCAAGGTAATTTGTTTGGCAAAAAATTGAGATAAAAAAATTTATCTTTTTTCCATTTTTCCAATCTTGCTAGCGTAATTAAGTCAAGCTTTTTTTATGATATATGATGATGATGAGCAGGGGAATCAAAGCCTCGACGGCGACGGAAGAAGAATAAAGGAGGGGAGAACAGCCTGTCTGGGGCTAAAAAAAGGAAGCTTAGCCAGGAACAAGTTAATCTTCTTGAACTTAATTTCGGAAATGAACATAAACTTGAGTCTGAAAGGAAAGACCGGCTTGCTTCAGAGCTGGGACTTGACCCTCGTCAGGTTGCTGTTTGGTTCCAAAACCGAAGAGCTCGGTGGAAGAACAAGAAGCTGGAGGAAGAGTATAGTAAGATGAAGACAGCCCATGAGGGTGTTGTTCTAGAGAAATGCCGTCTTGAATCCGAGGTATATTATTTGAACTCCAACTTTCAAGTTCATCTTCTTCAAACATTTTACAAAGAAAAATAATTCATAGTCAGCTAAAAATACCTGGTTTTAATTACATGATTAAATTTAGTTGGATATTTTATATTTTTTTGTTCTCAGGAACCAAACAGAAGCTAATGATACTATCAGGCTGTTCTCTTCTAAGCATTTTTTTTTTCACAGGGGTTTCACGGGGTCGACAAATATGTCTCGTTTTTTTCTTCAACATGAAAGTATTTTATTATTTTTTGCAAAAGAGATGGTGGGAGCTTGCTTCCGTAATTTGTGAACGTTTTCAAAGATTAATTCATTAACAAAATAGTAATTAAGAGCGATGGTTGGAAGAAAATGAAGCAAGGTGCCTATCTCTTTGATCTTTATCCTTTGAAAAAGACAGGGTGACCCACCATCTTAGAACGTGCATGAGCTCTGGGCTCGAAGAAAGCCATGCCATGGTGGTGGGTTCGGCCATTAAAAAATTTTTTTAAAAATATTGGACAAAAAGTAGCAAAATTTTTACAAGGAACAGCAAACTGCCACCTCATTACACAACAAAAATACAACGTTTTCCAATCGAAACAAGGGTCCGTACGGTCTTGTTCAAGGTGGCTGGTGTTGGGCTTAGCCAAGGCCCACTTGGGGGAACAGCGATTTGCACCTCTTCCCACGTTGGGAATTGCTCACCTTGTACTACAAATATTGTTTTATACACAAATTTGTGAATGTATTTTATCGGACCCCAAGAATCCCATGTTTCTTTTCACAAAAAAAAATATATATATATATATATATGAACTGTTTTCCAATTCAAAGATAGATGAATAGAGTTTTTTTTTTTTTTTAATACAAAAGACGTCAAGAAAGGATTATAATATTGAGATTTAAATATAAAATTATCAAATATTATTTTTATAAAATAATTATATAAATCAACTCATTAATAATATAAATCGAGTAGTATACTTATTTGTCAACTTTATTAGGACATATTTTTTTCTTTTTAAGTTTTGATGTTTCTTTGTTAGTAATTTTGTACACTAAAATTTAAAAATTTTTAACTTAATTGTAGGTTCTAAAGCTTAAGGAGCAACTTTGCGAGGCAACGAAAGAAATCCAACGGCTGGGGGAACGAGTAGATGGGGTTTCAAGTAATAGTCCAAGCTCATCAGTGCTGTCAATGGAAGCCATGGATCCACCTTTTCTAGGGGAGTTTGGAGTAGAAGGATATGATCAAGATGTTTTCTACATAGGAGAAAACAGCTATATTCATGGCATGGAGTGGATGAATCTGTATATTTAAGAAGCTAGTGCATTTTAATTATGTGTAGATAATTATGATGACATCGGATGTAATTATAACCCTTAATTTTCCTTTCTCAAGTAGTGTTATAATAATGTGACTGGAACTTGAAATTTAATTAGAAATGTTATTAACTATTAGTACTCAAATAACTTGCCTTTTGACTGAGATGATTGAGTGAAGCAAATATATCTTATTGATGAAAAATATTATAATTGAACTAAAAATTTAACTGAGTTAATTTATATTGTAATTAAGAGATGACATTCAATAAATATGAATTTAAATTCAACATTAATCCTTCCGTTGTACAAAAAAATATTATAATTCTCTTAATTTATTACCATAAGGTGTCAAACCACATGGCCACAAACTTTGCCAAATAACAAGATAAGACCTTACCATTTTCAGCTTAAGAAAAAGTAGCTTATTGAGATTAACTAGATGACAACTTAAATTTGAGTACATTACAATAAAAAAAGAAATCTTTGATTAGTTTGGAAAAGTTAATCGATGAACTATGAATTAATCCAAGAAATCTTGAGGGTGTAATGTTTTGATAAAAGCAAAGAGTGCAAATGTTTTCCAGCAATGCAATGCACCAAAAATCCTATATTCGAATATATTTGGTGTTTGTAGATTCTACAATGTACAAAGCCAAAGAGGAGATATGAAGACATTCATTCATATCCTCCATAAAAGTACGGAACATTAATTCCCCCTCTCCATCCATCATATATCGACCCAATCCTAATCCCACTGGACAAATCTTTCACACCACAAAGAAAACAAAAGCAGATAAAAGTAACGTTTATAGCAAGTTTATGACGATGACAAAGATTATGATCATGGTTTGTTTGCCGATAAAAGGAAAGAAAAAAGATATTGAAATAAAATTATACGAATTGAATTCCGATCATTGAAATAGACCGCAAAACTATTACCAACAATATTAGAAAGTAATAAGGAATCTGATCTTTATAATGAAAGCAACAAATTAAATCAATGGATAATAGATAAAGATAATGATCTTCACACATTCTTAGTCTTATGCCTTGTCAACCAACGATGGACGACAAAATCCTTCATATTCAAGAGGAATATGGGACATCATGGTCTTGAATGGCGTCACACAAAAGAATTGTTTTAAGTTTATGGTAGTTTGGTCAAAGCCAAGATGGCCATGAAAACACATCATGTCTTGCCAAAAAAAAAAATCAAAGGGAATTTAAAAATAAGATTTCAAGACGCGCTTCAATGATCAAATAAGTGTTGATGTGAGAAAAAAAAAAGTAAGGTAAACTAAAAAAATATAACTCATAATGCTTAGATAATGGATGGTCTTATCTTCCAGCCCTCTACTTGGAGGTCTTCAAGTATAATGCCTTGCTATAAAGAAAAAATGGCGCACATATTCTCAAAATCTATCTAAACAACTCTTACGTATGGGCTCAGTCTTATCCTTATTAAATCTTTAGTTTATTGGGCCTAACAAATTTACTAGCGTAGGGTAGTGTCTCTTTGGAGATATGAAGAATCAAGCTACCACATTATGTTACAAAAAGAAAAGCAATTGAAGTTACATTTATTGACGATGACAATAAAGATTAGGATCATGGTTTTGTTTGTTGATTTAAGGTAAGAAAAAAAGATAATGAAAGTAACAACGAATCGTTACAAAGAAAACACAATATCAAAGGACAATTGATAACGATGGAGAATATATATCTTTGATTCACTCTTAGGTGATCAGCCTTTGTCCACCATCGAGGGACACCAAAAATTCTTCAGAATATATGGGACATCGTTTGTAATGGCCATGTGATTGCGTGACACAACCGGATTTGCTGCTTAAGGTTGCTTGTCAAGCCAAGATAGCCATGAATATTAAATTTAATAATTCAAAACACGATATGATAACACAATATAAAAATGATACAAATAAAAAATAAAAAGATAATATGACTTAAAATTTTTAAAAAATTATAAATAGATATAATAAAATTAAAAAATTATATTTTATATTTTCGAATTGATACGAACTATAACACATGATTTTTCATATAAAACATTATATAAATATAATATTTTATACGACGTAATAACACGAATTGCAACTAAAACTATTTAATGTATTGCAGTCTTTGGTGTAGAGACAATGGAAAAAAATGAAAGGATGAAAATTTTTTAATGTAATAATTGAGATTAATAATAATGTTTGTTATTTTGAACATCTTTCTTTTTCTTTTCTTTTTTTTTTTTTGTTCCTATCAAATAGAAATATAGATTGTATGCAAACCCACCTTAAGATAGCAAAGCGATGTCGTTTGGGTAGCTCTCTTAACGATTAAATAAAAAATCATAAAAAAAGAAAGAAAGAAAATAATTGGTTGGTTTAGCCTTTGGGCCACATAGTCATGGAAATCCACCTGAAATTTCGGCCGAATAGAATGGTGGTGAGTTGAGCTCAGGCCCTGAACTTACCCTAAAAGCGGTTAAAAGCCCAAACGATCTTCCGTGTAATCCAAAAGAATTAAATAAATGAGGCTAACTATACTATTAAGCGTTTTCAGTTCTACTCTTTTACTTTGTACTTTTTAACTTGTAATAATTTCTAAAATTTAAGATAAACCTTATATATATTTTCATCCAAGTTTTTTAGATATGAAGTATAAAAAGAATTTAAATACAGGACCTAACTTAGATTATTTAATTATTTTTAAAATATGATATTTTATAAATTTAAAAATTAAATTTCAATACGTGTAATTTTGGAGACTTTTTTATATAAAAAAAAATAATGCTTTGTGAAAATTAATATAAATAATAATATTGGGCATATTAGTGTAGAGATATGAATAGATAAGATATAGGGCAGGTCAGCATTTCCTATTTTCATTTTTTAACTTTTATATTATACATATTTCTTTATTTATGTCTAACAAATATTTTAAATTTATTCTCATTTTCATCATATAAGGTTTTAATAGGTATGATAGTCTTCATACCCATAGTTTTTTTTTTTTTTTTTTTTAAATAAAACCCAAAATGGATGATGTTAGATTTTCCTGAATTAGCAACTAAGTTCAATAGAAAGTATTCAATCATGTATTAAATTATGAAATCTCTCTCTATTTATAATGTAGTTATTTCAGTTGATAACAAATTTTTTTAATGGGATTTAAATCCCATCTTTTTCCATCTTCTAATAAAAAAAATAGTCCAGTAATGTGCAAAAAGGGGATCATCAATCATATAAAAAGCATTATATTTCCTTGATTGCCAAAATTAATGTTGGAGTACAAACTCCAAAACTTCCATTATTCTCAAAATGATTTGCTTATTTATCAGTCTATAGTCTACATGTATAACCGCCATACTTCTCACTTCATCTCTTACAATAGGCCAATCAATGACAATAAAACCAATCACCACACTGATTTACCCCTAAAAATCTGCCACATAATTCATGCACAAAATCTTTCATGTATCCTCAATGTCAAGTAATTTCATGACTTTTCCAAATATAAACAAAAAAAAAAAAAAAAACAGAGAAAAAAAAATGGGTTGCCATAGTTTCCCCACGTTTCTCTCCCAAAACTCTCATTTTCAAAACCCACCTAAAGCCTCTCTTTTCTTCTATAACAAACAACAATGAAAAAACCCCCCTTTTTTGTTTTTATTGTCTTTACATGTAAACATACAGTTATTTTTGCCCATAAAAGAAACCATTTGCGAGCTCCTTCTTTACTGTGTAATGCAACAAGAAAACCACGAAAAGGAAGCTTCAGAAATGAGTGGAAGTGAAGAGGACGAGTTGTTTGAGTTGTCTTTACCTTATTCTCTTCAAAACATTGGCAACACATTTTGGAGGCTGACGTCAATGTACGATGATGACGTGGATGATGATGAAGATGATTTGGATAATAGTTTTGTCTTCCAGATTGATCAAAGCTTGTTGATTGATCCTCGTCTTGTTTTGCTTGATAAAATGATTGGTGAAGGCTCTTACTCTATTGTTCATAAAGGATTGTGAGTTCTTTTTTTCGTTTTCTGTTTTTCTTTTTGGGGTCTTTTATGTTTGGTTTTCTTGATCTGGGGTTGATTAGGTTAATCACATTCTTTGCATGTTCTTGGATTTTCATACTCTTTTGGGTTTTTTGGATTTTCTCTTTTGTTTGAATTCAATTTTGGTTTTATCTTTATGGCATTTTAATTCTGTTTTCTTGTACTGGCAATACCTTCAAGGGGTTTAGGGTGGTTTATCTGGAATTTGTGAGTGTTGGTTTACATAGTGTTTGAGGCTGATATTATTGTGCAATTTTGATAAAATATATGATCTTTGACAAAAACTTGGGTTCTTTAAAAAATGCACATGAATTCCTTTTTAGTTAGTGGTGCAGATTTGTTGATGTGGAGTGTTCATTACTATGTTATGTTATAGAAGAAAGATTTATCCTGCTTTTGGGGTTACTTTGATCAGTTCTTCAATTGCTTTCTTCAATTGCTGAGCAATTGTAAAGAATTATGAGTCTACTAATTGCTCAGCAACAACTTATGATGTCACATTTGGTAGAATGAAGTAGTGATAAGTGTGTTCTGTTGGTTACATAGTTATTCTGGTTGGAGATATGGTTGATTGATCTTGAATTTCCACTGAATTTGGATAAGTTAGATTACTAGTTTAGCTAGTAGTTGATTGTTGTTTCTATGTGCATATGTGGCATACCAGTATCAATTTGTTATGGTGGGTGTGACTTAAATATTTACATGCAGTACCATATGTTACTTTGAGATTACATTGATGAAGATTTAGTGGTGGTAGGAATTATTTTGGCTCTAACTACATCAACTGACAGCACCACATGGAATTTGGACTGCGGTGCTTTTTTAGTTAATGGCATAATTGACAGTTAAAAGATTCATCATCGAATGGATATGAGATTGATCATAACTGTTTGCTAGCCGACAAAACATCCTTGGATTTTTTGTCAAATTTCTTAGACAGAAGGTTTTAGATCAATATAAAAGTCTGTCATTATTATGTGTTGTGTTTTCTCTTAAACTTGATGATCTGAAGTCATTTTATGCTATCTTATTCTGATATTGTTTGGTCATAACAACCTTTAGATCAATATAAAAGTCTGTCATTATTATGTGTTGTTTTTTCTCTTAAACGTGATGATCTGAAGTCATTTTATGCTATCTTATTCTGATATTGTTCGGTCATAACAACCCTCCCTATTATGGATGTATGAGGTAAATAAATCCTTTGCTGCTCTGTATTTCAGTAGTAAATGGCAAAAGAAGGCTAATAATAAATTGTTCCTCATACAACATGCTTCTGATATTATATTCTCGGTATGCAAATTTGATTGGACGCTTACTCTTTATTTCTGCTGTTACATATCTCCTATAAGGCTATAACCATTGCAATACAATTTCAACGTTTATCTGCAACCAAAAGGATTTAGATTTGTACATACTGATGGCCACTCAACTTCATTCCAGCTACAAATCCAAACCTGTTGCGGTGAAGATTATTCAGCCAAGTAACCCATCAGCTGTAACTCGTGAGCATAAAGAGAAATTTCAGAGGGAGGTTTTACTGCTGTCTAGGATGGACCATGAAAATGTTGTAAAGGTATGTACTTTATTTGCTCACATATATAAAACTAATATTAGCCGTTAGTGTGTGTCTAATTTTACCTTTTCGCCTTCATTTTCTTTCATTTTTGGCTCCTGACAGCAGGCAATGGGTGATTAAGATAAATGTACTCTTGTTTCCTTGTATATTGTCCTATCCTCCACACTAGCAAACTAAGTTGTTGGATTTGGTGTGTGGATACCGTTTCCTTGTTAATCAATGATATAGCCATCTATGGAAGATGTTCAGTTTGCACTTTGATGTTGGTATGAAGGGAAGAAAAAATTGGCTCCAGCTGTGTACATGATCTTTAAATCTTTCCATATCCAATACTAATTATGCTGGCTATAAGGTTGCACTCACTGGAAACATTTGTTCAAATTGATTTAAAGAATCAGTATGAAACTAAATTCAGTTGAGTACAAGTTTGTGCATGAGGTGTGACCTCTGCTATGCCAAGATACAATTTTCCTTGAGCAATATACGTGTAGCATGAATTTATTAATTTTCCAGGCCTTCAAATCCATCATACTAATTAAAATGCTTATTGAACTTCTTATATCATGGAAATTACTGGTACTCAGTTAGAAATCTGGATAAGACAATTTTCTGATGATGTCAATTTCCAGCTATTTTAACTTTCATTATTCTCTCAGAGTTGGCATTCATATCTGCATCTTGATTAGTTACATAGTCATTCTAATTCAGATCTGTTTTGGTGAAGCAGCTTATTGGTGCTTCTGTGGAACCAACTATGATGATAGTTACTGAACTCATGAAAGGTGATACACTTCAGAGGTATTTGTGGAGCGTACGACCAAATCGTCTGGAACTGAAGCATTCAATAAGTCTTGCATTGGATATTTCCCAAGCTATGGAATACTTGCATGCCAATGGCATCATTCATCGTGATCTGAAGCCCAGTAATTTCTTCTCTTTTCATCTCATTATTCTAGTTACTTCAATTTTTTAAACAGTCAATGATATGCATGATCATTAATCTCAGTTTGAATGCACATTCCTTTGCTTGCTTGTAGTATATTTTCATTGTTTGCCCAAACACAGATAGATAAGTGACTGTGCCAAAAATTGCTAGGAGGAGCTTTTAAATTACAAATTTTACTGAGATGGAAAGCTTTCACTTTTTCTTGAATGAATGAGATGCATCAAAATTCCAAAGGATTTTAGATGCTGATATTAAACATTGAGACATTGCAGTATTTAGCTTTGATGGCAATTGACTTCATTGATGCACAAAACCTCAACGCCAAGCACTAGTGAAAATGTTATGCCCCAGATAATCTGCTACTTACATATCCTTAATATTATGCCAGGCAATTTACTTCTCACAGAGGATAAAATGCATATTAAGTTGGCTGACTTTGGGCTAGCTAGAGAGGAAGTAATGAATGGAATGACTTGTGAGGCTGGTACTTACCGGTGGATGGCTCCTGAGGTGCCTTTCCTTTATTGGTTGAAAAAAATATATATCCTTTAGCTGCTTATCTTCTTATTATGTCTAACTCTTTCTTCATCTGAATTAGTTATACAGCAGAGATCCACTTCCCATAGGAGCAAAGAAACACTATGATCACAAAGTGGATGTGTACAGCTTCTCAATTGTTCTTTGGGAGTTGCTGACAAATAAAGCTCCATTTAAAGGAAGGGATAATGTAACAGTGGCATATGCAGCGACCAATGTAAGCTGAAATTTCATAAATAACTAGAAAAACATGCAACAGCTGATTCAATTCCCATACCATCACTTTCACAATTTCTAATGACATGTCTTTCCTAACTTTCAGAATGAAAGGCCTAGTGTGGAAAGTCTTCCAAGAGATATTGTGTCTCTCTTGCAGTCCTGTTGGGCAGAGGACCCGAAAATCCGACCAGAATTTAAAGAAATCACTGGCATTCTTACAAACTTCGGCCAGAACTTTTGCTCAACAGAGACTACACCTCCCAAGAAAGTAGAAATTGATTATTCCAAAAGCCATGTAAAGGAAGATTGTATTGGTGCTGGCCATGCTACAAACAAATCTAATGACAAGAGAAAGGAACAGAAGACTTCTCCCACATTCCTCAGCTGCTTTGATGATTGCTTATCAGATTGATCAAGTGGGATCGATGGTGGATCATGTTTTTGAATTCTCAAAGGCTGAGGGGCTTTTACTACTCAGGGTTGGGACTTGTGTACAAATTGTACATGACTGATTATATTTCTGGTTCTTTAAGTAAGATAACTTTACAAAACTGTCAATTGGACATGCATACAAAGGTTAAAAAAAAAAATTATTGAAGGGAAACCAAAAAAAAAAGAAGAAAAATAAAGCTTTTGTCCAGTTGCAGGTCTTCTGTCCAAATTTCGGAATAACCTCTTTTTTCTCCCTATTTAAGTAGTTGTAATTATTATCATCTTCATGCCCTCTACTCTTATTGAGAAATATTAAATTTAGATTACCAATTCAAATGTTGCGTCTTGACATAGAGGTGATATTTACTATTATTAAGAAATTTATTTTTAATTTTATTTTATTTATTTGGTGAACAGGAGGCAAGACTAGATCTTTATTTTTGGAGCCCAAGCCGACATTTAAGTCGGTGACGCAGTATGCCATGTCCAGGCATGAGAAACGCTAAAGTAAACAGCCCGGTTTTGCAGTCACTCACGAAGAAATGCTATTCAGTAGTCCAATGGAATAGAATTTTGTTTTTTTTTAATTATTTTACCCTCATAAATTTTATTAAATTTTAATATTATTCAAAAATAAATAAATAATTAATTTAATTAATTAAAATTATTTATTTTGATAAAAAATTTTGAATTCAAATCTTATTATTTATTAAAATCATCTCGAATATATAATTTATAATAATTTATTTTAAATTATTAAATATAATAAATTATTAAATACGATGTATTTAACCTTTGCTTGAAGGGTTGAATAATTTATCACGAATTTTTGTCCGAAAAAAAAAAAATTATAAAAAAGTTCTGTGACATCGTTTCCGTCATCAGAAAAACCATTGACGACAACTATCAAGCGTTGTTTTGGTCGGATCTTCTACCGAAAGGGCAAATCTGGCCTCTATAAGCCAGATCGACTTGTTGGCGGCTGGATTTGTTACTTAACAACAACAACTAGTCACGTCGGCAGCTAGATCCAATTGCTGGTAGCGTCAACTAAGCTCAACGACGGTTGCATCTATTCACTGTCATGGCAAGATCGGCGCTCCAACATCCATTCTGATGCTTGATCGATGCTCCATTGGCGGCAAATCAATTTCTCGGCACCGATCAAGGGTGGAAACTTGATCTAAAAGGGGAAAAAAAAAAGCAATAGAAAAGGAGTTATTAATTAATAATAATTGATTAATTATTATGAATAATAAATTATAATTAATTTAGTACAAAAGCAAAATAAGCTTTTAAATTTAACTCAACTATATTTTTTAAACTAATCAAATATATTAATATTAATTTTTTTATTCCATTCTAATAAACTAAATTTTTTTTTTTATTCTCACAAAATACTTATTTTACACTTTTTATTTTATTTCTCGAATCAAAACATGATGAAAGTTCAGATTTAGGATAAAGCATAGGCCAAGAGCTCATTTAATTGGGGGATTCGGCAAAGAAAACAAGCGGATAATATTTTCGTGACGTGGAAGCCACACAAGCCCAAACGGATAAAGGGAAAAAAAATAAAAGAAGCCAACAGAAACAAAAAGTCAAATACCTCCAAACCTACGGCGAAAGACAAACGGCGTAGTTTTCGTAACAAAATTTTAAATTTAATAATCTAAAATATAATTCAATAAAAAAATTATATAAATAAAAATATAAAAATAATATAATTTAAAATTTTAAAAAATTAAAAATAAATTTAATAAAATTAAAAATTTTATTTTATATTTTTATATAACATAAATTATAATACATAAATTTTATATAAAATATCATATAAAACATTTTATATGATTCAAGGAGACGAATTATCATATCAACGAAATTTCCATTTCCTCTTGTTTTTTAAAGACTTTGACTTCTTCCATGTCACAATCATGAGTCACCCCTTTGGATAATGTGTCACTAGCCTAATCCAGTTAATGTGTCACCCGCGAACCCTAATTCCTTTCCCTACTATTTCCAACTGCAACTACGCACACGACCACACCGGATCAAATCTTTTTAAGGCAACAACTACCGAATTTGTTTTACACCCCAAACTCTTTCAAACAGCAACACTAGAAACAGTAATATCTTCTCTTAACTTGTACTTCATAATTTTCGTACAATTTTTTTTTGTCCTTAATTCCCAGCCGTTTGATAAAGGAAGTAGAAGAAGAAGAAAAGAGCACTATATATATATAAATATCTCTCTCTTCCAATTTTCCTTTCTTATTTAGAGTGTTCAACTTGGAGTTCCACCCCACTTCCCTCTTCAACGCCATGAAAACAGGTCTTTCTTTTTTCTCTCTCTTTTCTTTCCAATTTACTTTTTGAATTTTGTTTTTATTTGTACTTTAAAAGCATTCAGGATCTTTTATCTCTTGCTTTAATTTTGATTAGGCAGTTGGATTAGTGCTAAATTACTTGTTCTTCTCTGAACTCTAGTGTTAAATTGTTTCTTTTTTCTTTTTCTTTTGAGCTTTGCTCATGTTATGATTGTTGGGTATCCCTAAGGGTTAAGGCTTCAAGATTAAGATTAGCTCTTAATCTTTGAAAAAATTACTTCTTTAGCATATTTACTAATAATTAATTTATGGTTTTTTTTTAACATGTTTGGGGAGGAGGTGGATGGATTCCAGCTGTAAGACGTCTATTGCTGGTCAACGTTGGGTTTTTACTATAATTTGTAGTGGAATCAGAGGACTAAACGTTGGCTAGCTTTAGTTTTGGGCTATGTAAAACAGATACCGCCAATTTCTAGTGGTTTTTTCCCCTTTTAATGTTGGTTAATATAGGAATTGTTGAGAATTGTAGTTTTCTTTGGAAGGTAATTATTGGAATTGAAGAATTGCTTTCTATCTGAAGGTTGTCGTTTATGGAAGGATTGTTGTCTGATACTCTGCTTTGTCTTCCATATAACTAAATCAGTTACAAACATGATGTTGTCCACTGACTCCTTCACTTGTTTGGAAAAGGATGGATGTTTCATCTTTTGAGTTAGTTTTATGGAGGATTAGAATAACCCAGTTAATATTATTTTGGAATTGTTAATTTGCCGCAAGAAGTGTGGCCAAGATGAGAGATCTTGAAAAGAAACGAGTTTATTTCTAAATTTTAGCTTCTTTGAATGGTTATTAAGGTATTTTGGAACTCATGTCGGCCATATACAATATTCTAGGGATGCTTTTGTCTTCTGCTGGATCATGCGTGTAAGATGATTTCTTGCATAGCCTGGGGCATTCAAGTTGGGAAGTGGTTTTGTAAGGAAATTGGGTGGGACCACTGCTGAGCTAAGTTTAGTTGTATTATGTTTTTTGTTTCAATTTGTTTCATGATAATATGCTGATGCTGAAATTTGTATAGATTTATGTTCTATGAATCATGTTTTGGTTCATACATATAAAAACCTTGTGATTTGTGAAGGCTCTGAAGTGATAACATTTCATCTGATTCTGCATATTCCAAATAGTACACTATAGTTTCTTTTTTTTTTTTTTCCTTTGCTTGCTGCGACATTGGTAGATAATTTTCTTGTGATCTCCCATTTCTGAAATATATGGTTTCTTGGAATAGGGTTCTCAGGTGCTTCATAAAAGTCGTTGAGGATATACAAATTGGATTCTAAATTTGCTGAAATTAAGAGGTTTAACAAAGTGATTATGGGAACAGAAGAGGAGAGCACACCTGCCAAGCCTTCCAAACCTACTGCCTCAACTCAGGTCTATCATAGTTGCCTCCATCCCACTCATTGAAAAGAACTAAAAATGTGCCCATATCATTCTTGCTCTCTCATTACTAACATGTGGATGAGTTTTACTGACATTTCTACTTTGTACTTATAGGAAATACCAACAACACCCTCATATCCTGATTGGTCAAGCCCAATGCAGGTTTGTATACTGAGTACATAAATCATGGGTTTTTATTTTTTTTTTAACTGTTGATCTCGTTTATGAAATTCTAAAAAGTCATTGTTATGTAAGTAATCATTCGAGCTTACAACTCAGCTCCTTGTTTAGGCTTATTATGGTGCTGGAGCTACTCCACCTCCCTTCTTTGCCTCAACTGTTGCTTCGCCAACTCCGCATCCATATATATGGGGAGGCCAGGTGATATGAAATCACCATTATGCAATAGTCTGTTTCTTTCTATATTTGATCAGAGTAATGTTCTTACTTCTCCTTCTGTTGATAATCTTATCTTTCAGCATCCTTTAATGCCTCCATATGGCACCCCAGTTCCATACCCAGCTATATATCCTCCAGGGGGAGTCTATGCACACCCTAATATGGCCACAGTAATATTAGTTTTTTCTTTCTCTATGTGTTTTCTTTTTGCTGTTTGTATGTCCTTTTGACACGCAGTTACCCAGAATAAATGCCCTTCCTCTTGGCAATTTTTTCTATAGGCTCCAAGTTCTGCACAGAATAATGCTGACCATGAAGGGAAGGGTGTTGATGGAAAGGATCGAGGTGCCACCAAAAAATCCAAGGGAACTTCAGGAAGCAAGGTTGGAGAGAGTGCAAAGGCGGCTTCAGGCTCTGGAAACGATGGTGGCTCTCAAAGGTGCACTAGCCTTTTGATGTTTCAATATTTTCTCTAACACAATTTTCACATTTGTTCTCAACATTGGGTTTTGGTTAAAGAAATTTCTTCAATTTTTGTGCATGTGTTTTCTAATTCTAAGTGCTTTCTTAACAGTGGTGAAAGTGGCAGTGAGGGTACATCAGATGGAAGTGATGAGAATAATCAGCAAGTATGTGCATAATTATCATTATTTAATTATCATCAAGGGCGCTGACTGCATTAAAAATTTATTTCCCTCATCAACATTGTTTCCTGGCTAGCATGTTAATACGCTGAATTGTCCTTTCTAATGAATATGTGCCTTTTTTTCTTTAGGAACTTGCTGCTGGAAAAAAGGGAAGCTTTGACCAGATGCTTGCAGATGGTATATTAAATTTCTGTGTCTAATTTCCTGCTTTTATTGTAGGGAGATGTTATAAAATCGGGAGTGGGGAAAATGTTCTGAGGACTAAGTTTATGAAAATTGAAAAAAAAAAAAATTGTTGCTAAGTGTACTTCTGGTAATAAACTTAGGGTTGATTTTGTTGATTTTATATACTGTGATAGTTTTCTAATTACGATTGCTCTTGTTACCAGCCAATGCACAGAGTAACACTGCTGGGGCTTTAGTTCCTGGGAAACCCATAGTTTCTATGCCTGCAACTACTTTGAATATAGGGATGGACCTATGGAGTGGATCCCCTGCTGCCACAGGAGCTGCAAAAATGAGACCTAACTCATCTGGTGCTGTGGCCACAATTCCAGCTGGAGGTGTGATGCCTGACCAGTGGATTCAAGTATGTGCTTCCCTTGGTGATTTTTCTTTCTAATTTTCATGTTCATTCATTACTATATGCTCCATTTCTAATCCAGTATTCTGCCCAAGTTGTTACAACCTGCCTTAGTCCTTAAGGTCTAACTTTGTTGGCTCCCTTTTGCGTCCTTTTAAGCAACTAGAGCATTTGGGACGCCACTGACTTCTGCAGTTTGGCTTTCAAGATACTTCTGCAATTTCATGTTGTTAACTAAATTGGCTCTGTGGGTTCTTGCAGGATGAACGTGAATTGAAAAGACAGAAGAGGAAGCAGTCTAATAGGGAGTCCGCTAGGAGATCAAGATTACGCAAGCAGGTAGAACGGTTTATATTCATCCACAACAATGGTTGTAGAACTTATTTCCATAGTATATTGAGGTTTAAGCTTAAGATCTGAAGGATGTATTTTGTGTTTCACAAGGCTGAGTGTGAAGAGCTACAAGTCAGGGTGGAGGGCTTGGCAAATGAAAACCTCAACCTTAGAGATGACCTAAAGAAGCTTTCTGATGAATGTGAGAAGCTTACATCTGAAAATAGTTCTATTAAGGTATAGAAGAGATGCCCTACTTCACTTGACGCGTTACCTGAGATAGTCTTTTCTTATTAAAGCTCATCTATATTTTTTACCTTGCTTACCTGCTTCCCCACTATTATTTACTCAATTAAGGGAGAGTGGAACCTTGCAGATCATTGAACACTAGTAGTATCATTCATTCATTATATATGTTGCAATCAATTCTTCCTTGTGCATATTGTTGAATGTGTTATCAGCAAATATGATTTGCTGCTCTGTAACAGGATGAGTTGATGCGGATCTGTGGACCTGATGCAGTAAGTAACCTCGAGCAAGACAACCCCTCTTCAATTCTTCAATCGCGAAATGGTGAAAGGAATAGTTAATAGGAAACCTACAGAGATAACTTGCAGGCAGTGCAGTAATTTCTTGGTATCCAGGAATATTCTTTTTACCAGGGCTTTACTTTAGTTTAGTAATAGGGCGTTTGTTTTCCTTACTAATTTATACCCTTAACCCAATATAACTGTAATGTTTATTTTACAGAAGAAAAGTTTTAACCGGAGTTAAAATTGTTGTGTTGGTGTAGTTGATTGGGAACAAAAGAATGATTAGAGATTGATTCAGCCACTGTTCTGATTTTGAACGCATTTAGATGTAGTGTTTTCATTTAAAATACAGGAAACATTGTCTGTGTTGCTATGTAAACGACAAATGTGAGAAGCTAGCATGAGAAATGAGCCGTAAAAATCAGATTAAATTTTTGTTTGAGTATGCTGCCAATATCTCATGGTCCATCTCTTCGGCCGGGTTAAAGTCCTAATTGATAACACATAAACACCAAGCCTGGGAAAAACACGGCCACCTCCTTGGGGAAAGAGACACTAATAGTCTCCATGATCGGACTCCGGATTTGAGATGATTCTTGGTTGGCCATCATGATCAGACATCTCGGTTGCATGTGGCTGTCCGCTGGTTCCGCGGCACCCCTCACCTTTGGCGCCGCTGGCTCAGTCATGAAAAGTTTTAGCATGATCAGTGGAAAGTAGGGAAAGAAGCCAATGAACTAGCAGTTTAGTAGTATTGTGCTCACCACCGGATCCACACGAGAGCCATGTCAAATTATTACTTATATAAATGGGTTACAACATAACATTTCAGCATATGCAAAGAAAAACAAATGATTTGTTACACATCCTTACTGATATAGATCAAAACGTACACCAAAGCAACATGACACAAGGTGAAAACGAAAACATATGAACTGTTACACATCCTTATTGATAGTTAATATTGTCTCTTGTTACCGCTTTTCATTTATTTGTATGAATTTGTCATTTGGCTCTCCCTCTTCGTTAATCATGCATTATAAAATGAAAAGAGTCAAGAAAGTCACATCAGCCCTTTCTTTGCATTTCAAAGCAAGGATGGTGCCCAATCCCTAGAAAACAATGAGGCTAATGGGAAAAAAAATTATTTTAATTCATTCATTTAATTATAAAAATAATATTTAACACATATGATATCATCACGTGCAACCCGCAGCCTCCTACCAACAAAAATCGTGAAGGCTAATGGGAGCACTGCACGACCATCTATTGCTAGCAAACTAAATAAAATCATATTAACAATGAAACATTTGGGCACGGGGAGAAAATAGATTGGAGCCCCTTTTGTAACATTAGATTATGCACAGAGAATCCAAATTACGATATATTTTTTTACATTTTAATTACCGTTAAAATTATATTATCTACTTTTATGAGTTTGTAGTTTTTTATTAAAAATCGATAATCTTATTAATTTTAAAATGATGTCGTTTGTGTTTTATATTTTTAACACATGAACAAGTTTTAACAAAAAATAAAAAAAATTATTCAATATATACTCAATAAAGCTTTTAAATTTTATAAACAAGTTTAGAAGATAATCATAAATTTTATTACAATATTATTTTTAAAAATTGATAAATTAATATCACAAACTAATTGAACATATGATAATATTTTAATTTCATTTGTCTAAGTGTTAAAAATTTACTAAACATGTATAAAATAGTAAAAGCTTCTCCCCCATGGACAAAAAAAAGCAAACCAAAAAATGAATAGAATTTGATTTCATTATTTGGGAGTTGCCCCCTTGGATGGATACATGAGTTTTTGGTACAAAGTTTTGTTTGAAGACTCATATATATATTTGGATACATCTGAAGAAACCTAAAGCTAAAGGTAGCCCTAGATCTTTCATGATAACTACACCAAATTACCTAAAGCTAAAGAGAAAATAGTAAAACTAAACCCAAACACAGCGACAAATTAAACTGGATCGGGATATCCCCAATCACGCCCCTCCTTCTCCTCCTCCTCCTAATAATCCTAAATCCAGCTAGGTTAAGCCTTAACACCTCCAAGCTGACGTGGCAACCAAGGCACTCTCGTGCCAGCAAAGCACCAACTCCGCCTGTCTTTTCACCACGTGGAATCCCCTGACATGAACTTTCCCTAACAAACATTCAGCTTGAAAATCCGCGAACTGACTCAAATGCATTGCCCTCATTCCCGCCCCAACAAACAACTCCCTCCAGGGCGGCGCGGTCCTCCTCGCTGCAGCCTCCACCGCCGCCAATATCCTCGGACGCAACAACAACGTCTCTATCTTCCTAACCCATTCCCCACCCGCCACCGCCGCGTCCAACGACTCAAACATCATGACGTAAAACTCCAAACCACTCACGAAATTCTTCCGGAACGACGTCGTACCCAACTCCATCCACACCTCACTATCTACAAAAACGACGACGCTCGGATTAACCCTCCGAAGGTCACTCAAAAACGCCGTGACGTTCAAACTGAGACATCGGAAAATAGACGGAGATAAAAGGATAGCTGTTTTTTCTCCGTCAATGAACTTAAAAGCTTTAAAAGACAACATTTCAAAAGTTCGAAGCGGAACAAACTCAATCTGGAACCTTAATTTAAGGTCTTGAGCGAACTGGAAAAGGTTGTCTTTAATGAGCCTTGTCTCAATGGCATACTCTTCTGGAACCACCGCAGTTATTCGAATGAATTTGCAAGAATGATCCTTTTTTTCAGCCATTTCTCTCATCAAAGAAGCGTACTGACCTCCCAATCCGATATCAAAATCGATGATGTGAATCAATGGTGCTGGTCCATCCAGTGCTTCCAGGAGAGCTTGATTGGTTGTGAAGTGATTGAACATGGGGATAGGGTTGATCCCAGAGAAAGCCTTGTAAGCTTTGATGGTTTGAACAATTTCACTCCATGAAGACAAACGAGTAGACCGAGTTGACCCAGTGAGTAGCGACTGGAGAGCTTCTTTGAAGTAGAAAGCGGCTCTTTGTAACGGCCTGCCAGAAGGAGATGGGAGCCGCTGATTGAGCCGCGCTAATGTCACCTGCGCGAGTTGCAAATCGTGGATGTCGAAACAGTCCGCTGCTTTTATCAGCTCTTCCAAAAAATCAAAGCCCAAGTTGAAGTTGCCAATATTATGAAAATTACAACTATTAGAAATATCAAGGTAATTATTAGTAGCAGTAGTGGTGTTGAAATTTTGATGAGATGGGTTTTGATATAGAACCGAATAAAAATCGTAAAGATTGTTAAAATCAGAATGGACCGGGTGATTAGTCAACTCGCATGATGTGAACTCAGGGAGCTTTTGGATGTGATTCTCGCAAGGACTAAGAACTTGAGGATTAATAGTTTTGCTAGCAGGCACAGATTCGTCATCTAATCCCAAATCTTTGATTATGGAATCCCAATCCATGTTCCGTAGCTCATGCTCGTCCCACTCAAGAGGCGCCAGATGATGAGGATCCGATACTGAGATACAATTCGAAACATCGGCAGGATTCGAAACCGGCTTTTCGGGCACCGGACTTGGGCTTCGACGAAGATCAAGAACTGAAGTTGGCTCATAGCATGAGGCTGCTGGAACACTGTTAAGAAAACTGATGTTCCTGGCTGTTGTGCTGCTGCTGTTGTTGTTGTTATGTTTTGGGCTCTGACAATGGTTGTTTTGTGGAGAAGTAACCGGGACTCTCATAGCTTTCAGAGCACCCAAAAGAAAAAAAAGTCTCTTTTGCTGAGTTTGTTTGGTTTTCTTTGCTTTTTGGGGCTTTGGAAGGTTAATATATATTGGTTTAGGGTTTGAAGGTAGGAGAAGAAGAGAGTGGAGCGGCTGGGGCTTTTTCAGGTTATAATTGCAGTCTTTTTATATTTGCATGGGAGATGGAGAGGTCAATGGAGAGGGTATGGGGTAAGAACATGGGCATTGTTCGATGAGGATCTTGACATATATACATGATCGACACAAGTCAGACCTGTCTTTTATCAACTTTGAAGCTTCAAACTCAAGCTTTTGCTTTCTTAGTTTGTTTTTGCTTTTTCCAGGATTCTCACCGATTTATTTTTGTTTCTTTAAATTCAATAAAATTTTAAACATTGGTTTTCAGTTATTGATTTATATATAGTAATTAGCAAATTTGATGAACTAAGTTTTGAGTTTTAGATGATAGATTTATATTATCTCTCGTTTATCTTAATAAAGAATTGAACATGCATGATTGTACGCACATAGATGTAATCAATGAAAAAGTCATGGAAAAGAAGGAACTCAGGCCATAAAACCCTAATCTAAAATTATTAACTATTGTTTAAATAGACATGCGACCAAACCCTACCCCTCATGAGAAAAAAGAACGGTTAGACTCTAGTATGTCCAAAGACAAACTGAATTTGATTTTAGATTAAGTTATAATCAATGTGTCTAATAAGGTTGGTCAAAGTGAATTTTAAAATTAATTATCAAACTCTAATATATATATATATATATATTGGTTGAACGGAAAAAATTTTTTTAATTAATTAAATATATATTTTTCCTAAATCGGATAAGCATGTTTATTTACTAAGTAAATTTCATTAAGTATAAAAATTATTTTTTATAATTTTCAATAAATACGAATTTAAACAATTAAAAAAATAAATTCTCTTCGCAGTTAAATCAACATCCATTGATACTTTAAAATATATAAAACAATTCTCAAAAAATATATATTAAAAAGGTAAAAAAAAAATGCGATATGTTATTTTATATTATGTCCCTCGATGTAGTATGTTATGATTTATAAAAAAAAAAGGATGATGATTGATGCTTAGTTAACTAAGAATGAAGTAATTAAAAAAGACTTAGAAATTTGGAATGTGAGAAACAAGTGAAATTGCGTGCGTTAAAGCTCCACAGTCTTTCTTTTCTTTGCCCCTACCATGATTAGGACCCCACAAAAGTTCCAAACAGGTAGCCAAAGACAAGCACCATCACCACCACCACCAACACCACCCGCCAGTAGTCACATCACCTTCGAAAGGGCCATTGTCATAAAATAGTTTTGAGACTTGAGGGGCCACTTTATTAAACTCGGCCCCCTCCATATGAAATATGTGTGAATTTTTTTAATTTTATTTATAAAATTAAAAATTTTTATTGATAATATATTAAATAATTTTTATATAAAAAATATGATTTCCATCGTTTTCTTTTTAATATTTGTACTTCTTATATGGCAGTAATTATTGATTTTAATTAGAATATCATATTTACGAATTAATTAATTTATTTGTATTGGTGAATTTTATTTTTAAATTTATTCAATAATAATATATTATATTAAAGTTTATAAAAATTTAAGATAAAATTGATAAGATAAATAATATCTCTTAAGAAAAATGTAAATAATTGAATTTTTTAACTAAAAGAAAAAAAATTTTAAGACTTTATTTAAATAAACGATGAAATTAAAAATAACAGTGATAATAAGATTAGTTATTATAATGATAAGATTGAGTATCAAAATAATAAAATTAAATCAATTGTAAAATATATATTTAAATATAAAAATATTTATGATAACAAGATGAAAACAAAAATACCATCACAAATATTATTCAAGGAATAAAATAAAAATTATTTTGATGCATATTTTATTTTTATTTAATATTGAAAATATTAAAAATTAACTTTTAGAAACAAAAAACTAATGTGAGTAGAAATATGATGTTATAAATTTACTAAAATTATTTTAATCTTAATAATTTAAATGTAGGGATAAATTTGGTTTAAAAGAATATTAAGAGGGCAAAAATATAAAAAATGAGGTGAAGTAGCTCATTGCATCCCTCATCGGTGCAAATTTGTGCTCCCATCGATGTCACATCAACCGAATTCAATCGTGCTGTTGCGACCCAAATGGACAGTTGCGGTGCAATTGAAGAAAAAAAGGGCTTAATCGCACCTCATCATTGTCGTGATTTGATGTAAGTGCTCCTTCGAATTTTAACGTAATGAATTGAATTCGTTGTATCATTACTTAAATATTAATTTCAGTTAAATTTATTTAATAAAAAATTTTTATTAAATTTTTTAATAATAATAATAATAATTTTTAATTTTATCATAATTAATTTCATTGTTCGTTCAAATAAAATCTGAATGCAATTTAAATCAAAAGCTAATGATAGTTATATTTATTTGGAAATAACATTAAAATATCAAATATATATTTTTTGGGTGTTTGATATTATAAAAATACCAAGATAATTAAAGGAAAACCTTAAAATTTCCTATATCAATAATAAACCTAGGGCAAATTAATTAACTTTTTTTTTTTTACTTTGGACAATGATAATGATGCATGAAACCCAACTATATATTAATTTGATTGGATCAACTGTATATCTTCCATATGTGGAGCATAGTTTTATACTAGTTGAACAATAATTAAGTTCTTTCATTTTGTTATGAACCAAACAATTGTACCAATGATACATGAATATAGTTTAATAGGGAATTATTTTCAACTTTGTAATCAGTAAAAGCTTCTTTTACTTCTTAATTTTCTCAAGAATCAACTTTGGAAGGACAAAAAAAAAAAAAATCATCCAAGAAAAGTTATGGGAGGCAAGGCACCTCCCCTACGGGATTAAAAATCAAATCAAATACCTACCATCCACGTATAAAATAAAAACGTAGAACTGAAGAATTGGCATTAGACGTTCAACATTTAGCTAACAAGCAGCAGCAGCAGCAAGTAGCGCCATCGGCCATCGGCCATCAGGCCACGTTCAAAAGCATTTACAAAAGTTCATGGAATTCTTACTGACAAGCCAAGTAACGATCTCTCCCTCAAATTGGGGTCCATAAATCGACATGGAACTGTGACGTGATTGGCCAGTGTGGGGGGTGTCTCAGCGCTACAGGGTCCCACCGGACGGCTTTTTGTCGGATATGCATGGATGTACCAACGGTTCACAGTCCAAATCTATACTGTTGTGTAATAGCGCGTAGAAACCACGCCCACGTAGGACAGCTTTGGCTTTTTGACGGCAAGAGAGGGAAAGAAAGAAAGATGGGAATATGTTCGATTGATGACAGTGCGTTTCCCTCGATGGATAAATCTCTATCCGTCCATTTACGTACCAAAAAGAAGCACAATATATCCAATGCCCCCCTTTTTTCTTGTTTTTGTAATTTTCACTTTAAGGGAAAGTTTTTCCCACCTCAAAAAGATGTTTAAACAACTTTTTTTTTTTTTTAAATAAACTTTTGATTACTTTCAAGAGAACATGAACTGTTTTTAATTCTAGAATTAGTGGCAATATATATCCTTTTGTGATGTAGCACTTATTTCATAATCAAGCTTATGTTCTAAACTTAAAGTTTTTAATTTTTTTTTATTTATTTATTGTAGTATGTAGTATTGGATTTGGATGGTTCTATAGGTGTGAACGCTTGGGAGGGATCCAATGCTATTAAATTAATAATTTCTTAAGCTATATTTGTTTGAAATCAAATGATCTCTGGTTAATGGAATAACTAAGATTGATTTTATATGGTTTAAAACGAATCCCACCGAACACAATGTTTTCACATTTTTATATAGTTATAATAACTTTAACCATGTGTTTTGTAAAGTGATTGAGAAATAAAAATATTATATTATTTTTCACATTTATTTAAAAATATAAATCATTTTAAAGATAAGTGGGAAAAAAAATAGAAGGGATGTGAGTAAATATTATATATTTATATATTTTTTATTATATTAATTTATAAACAATTTTAATGATAAATCATTTATTTTTTATTTTTTATTTTTTATTTTTCAATTTATCAAATGTATGAAAAAATTATATTACAATCTAATTTATGGTTTAATGTTTCATTTCAGAAGAAGCAACATGATTAAATGGGAAATAAAGTTGAAAACGATTATTTGGAAAGGCAAAGGCAAAGTGTCAACAAAAGCCTCTAAGAAGGTCCCAAAGCTAATAAAGATTATAAATTAAAAAGCAATTAAAGATCTCAAAGTGAGGATTCGAATGCAAATTTCTAGCATACCATAAGCTTTATATAAAGAAAAAAAAAATTTATGATTGCTTTAAAGAATGAGAGCTTTCTGTGCTTAATCATGGATACTTTTACTAGAACATTTGCAGAATAAATCAAACAGAGGATTGTTTTCACATGAGCCGAGCTCCACCCTATTATTTAACAGGATGCATGGTAATATAAACAATGAATTCTACTGACAAGCACATCATTAATATAAAGAATATTCCTATAATTATATTAAAATACAATGTAAAATAAAACCCTAGATGATTCCATTAGCATCTGAATTCTGAAAAGAGCAAATAATTGTTCAACATCTCAAGCTGATCAAAACCTCATCTTAAAAAAAGAAAATAATTTATCACCAACACATGATTTACATTGCAACTTGCAAAGAATACTACTAATATTCTATGAGAATAATTTTGAGTCAAAATACTTAGGTATTAAGGTTCAAAATCACACGGGACACACGCGATAAAGGAAGGGAAAGCAAAGGGAGGCTTGAAGCTCACAAAAGATGGAAGAAGATGTTGAGATTCTGATTTATATCATTCACATAAAGATGGTCTCCCATTAACCCCCAAAAGAAAAAGACAAAGGGGGTTGGGAAGCAATGAAAGGTGATTTTGGGATGAATAGTGGGGCGGATCTTCTATCTTCTAATCAACAAATAGCCTTACACTACCTTTTCCAATATGGAGGATCCTTAAGGATATGTTGATTTGCTTTGAAAAAAAAAATACCCTCTGATTCAATAAGTTTTCCCCTTTCTTTATACATATAACTATAGTCTTTTTAAATTTTATTGTGATTCCTCCACATTTTATGTGTGGGATCATAGTCATTGTGCCAATTGGTGGACCACTTAGGGCTTGCCAGACAGGTTAAGATCAGATGTTATGCGGTTAAAGTTGTTTGGTATATTTTTTTTTTTCTGCCCAACTTGAATTGATGAAAAGACCAACTCTGATAGTCCACTTGATTCAGAATTTTTAAGCATCACAATCAAGTACTAGTTGGTAAATAAGTTGGTAATCATAATGATGTTAACTACAACATTGAATTTGAACATAAATAGGCTTAACAAAGTCATTTTGATTTTTAGTTCTTTGTGATTCCAATTTTAAAGAAACTAAACTTACTAGTTATATTTCCATTTTTTGCACCTTATGGGTTCCACAAAAATATTTTTTTACGAGTAGCTTAAGAAATATTGGTAATTAAAATTTGCTCTTTTTTTTTTTTAAGTTTTATAAATAGCATAGATTTGTATTGTGGCCTTAACAGATAATTTCTTTTATATTTCAAAAGGTTAAATTTAAATTATAATTATTAAAATTAATATTTTAGCACTTTATTCCGTTAAAAAAAATTAAAGAATTTTTCAAACGTCTAATCTACCATTAAATCTTCCTCCTCTTATACTTAAATAAGTATAAAAAATACTTTACGTATATAATCTTTTAGGTATTATTATGCCAATTAATCTAAAGCTCCAATGGCCAGAAGAGTTTACAAATGAACAAAATACGATATATCTAAGCCCGCTAAAATGAAACAGTCACAGATCTTTGAAAAAACTCAATTGGATCTTATTTCTGTAGTTTTGAGGGTTGTTTTTTCTGGGCTCTATGCCCATTTCCTTGTACACAGAGTTCTAACAGAGCCTATAATCCAAGCCCAGCTTCAATGATCTGCGGAATCTAGAAAAGAGCCAGGCCTGCCTGGCTTCAGCAGTGTTTGTGGGTATTCATGGATAAAATTTGGATCTTTTGTTGTAAGACAGAGGCCAGGCTACCATCATCCCATAATGAACCAGACTACAATCCATAAACCATATCGATCGGCATATCCTTTGCTGAAACCACGTGATCTTTGCGGAAGTCAAGAAGATGGAGCCACTCAATTTCAACTAAATCCCCTGCATGCTCGGATGCTCTCCCTCTCTCTGTGTTGAATTGAATTGGATCTTAACCGCTTTGTAATTTAACGGAGTGAGTTATTCCTACTGCCACGTGTTGCGAGGGCATGCACGTGTCCAAACACAACCCCACGTCCATCACCCACTTTCTTCTATATATAGACCAAACTAATTTTCCCTTGGTCAAGACTCGAGAGTGTTCAGATTCTAATCTCTTGAAACAATGCTGAAGGGAACCTTGATTTTCCCATTTTCACTTTTCACAGTTTTTTGCATCCTTGCTTCCTTTCTGAGTGTTGAAGCTTCCCATGGAAATGCTTCGGCTGTGGGGCATTTGGTGCAGAAACATGAGAGGAAGCCCTTAATTGTGACAGAAGATGGAGCAATCTCAGCTGTTAATGTCAGTGATGGAACAAAAGGTCCATACCATCTTCAATTCATCACCCTCGAGCCTAACTCCCTTTTTCTTCCAGTTCTGCTACATGCAGACATGGTTTTTTACGTCCACACAGGTAGCCCTGAATTTAGTGCTAGTAATTTAGAATGGTAATTTAATGAAAATGTGGCAAGAAATTTTTCATAATTTTCACATGAAATTTTGTTTTAGGAAGTGCAATATTGAGTTGGACTGATGACAATGAGATAAGGAAGGTGAACATTCGGAAAGGAGATATATATTGGCTGCATTCAGGGTCGATTTTCTATGTACAGAGCGGCCTAGAGCCTGAAAGAGAGAAGCTTAGAATTTATGCAATCTTCTCTAATACAGAAGATAATATATATGTACGACATTCTTAGCTACTTTTGATTTTTTTTTTTTTTCATTTGTTTTCCTTTCTTCTTGTTTTAAGTGTAGTAATTAGATTGACTAGAAAGTGTGACTCATTTCAGTCTGAACTTTGGTCTGTAAATTTAACAAATGCAGGAGCCATCAGTTGGGGCATACTCAAGCATTAGTGATGTGGTCCTTGGCTTTGATTCGAAAGTTCTCCAAGCAGCTTTTAAGGTATGATTTTAACTTGGATAGTTGGTTACAAGCAGATCTGATAATTTGTATATTTGTGTCATATAAAATATTGATAATTCGTATATTTGTACCATATAAAATTATGTATTATAATTGGTGTTGATATAAAAATATAAAATATATTTTTTGATTTTATTAAACCTATTTATAATTTTTGTTAAAATTGTCATTTTCGTGTCTTTTATTAATATTGTTTTTATGTCGTGTGTGGTGTTTGAAATTTTCAGCTACTTACAAACTTTCTCGTTTGAGATTTTTGGCCATCCAACCGACTTCCATGAAAGTGGTACTCCAGTCATTTACATGCATGCACTTAAATTTGGGTTGAAAAAAATGAATTGGATAACTTCAGTTTGACATGAATCTGATAGAAAAAGAATATGAAAATGATTCTGCTTTGTCAATTTTCCTGCATAATTCTATTAAATTATATACATAAAATGTAAACTTCTGTCTAAGGTACCCGAGGATGTGATAGAAGAAATTATGAAAGCAACCAAACCACCTGCTATAATCCATGCAATGTCAAAGAAAAAGAAGATCTTCTGTGACTTGCAAGCTCGACTATTGAAAGCATTTCTAGGGAGCGACAGGGGTGGCTTCAATTCAATCAATGGCAAGAAGAAGAGGAAGAAAACAAAAGCATATAATCTTCTTGAAGCAGATCCAGATTTCAAGAATTATAACGGCTGGAGCCTAACAGTGGACAAACATAACTTGCCTTTATTTAGGGATTCCAACATTGGAATTTTCATGGTGAACCTGACAAAGGTTGGTTTACACAGCTTTCTTTATAGTAGCATTTACTAAAAGTGAAAATCTTAGTTACATAGCATTTACTAAAAGTGAAAATCTTAGTTACATAAATTAAATAGATTCTATTTGTGAAATTTTCTGAAGGGTTCAATGATGGCGCCACATTGGAATCCAAGAGCTTCTGAGATAGCAATAGTGTTGCAAGGTCAAGGGATGATTCGGGTGGTTTGTTCGAGCAATGCTAATGAATCTGAGTGCAAAAATTTGACGTTTAGAGTCGAGGAAGGAGATGTATTTGCTGTACCGAGGTTTCATCCAATGGCTCAAATGTCCTTCAACAATGATTCATTTGTTTTCATGGGGTTCAGCACATCAACAAAGAGAAACTATCCTCAATTTCTAGCAGGGAAGAGCTCTGTCCTAGGGATCCTGGATAGACAGATCTTGGCTGTGTCATTCAATGTCACAAACACAACAATTGATCAGCTTTTGTCTCCACAGGAAGAATCAGTCATATTAGATTGTACTTCTTGTGCTGAGGAAGAGGAAAGCATAATGGAGGAGGATATTGAAAGGGAAAGAGAGGAAGAAGAAGAAGCTAGGAAGAAAAAGGAAGAAGCCAGAAAAAGACAGGAAGGGGAAGCCCGGAAGAAAGAGGAAGAGGAGGCCAGAAAGAGAAGGGAAGAAGAGGAGGAGGAAAAGAACAGAAGAGAAAAAGAAGCTAGAAAAGAGCAAGAGGAAGCCCGGATACAGGAAGAAGAAAGGCAAAGAAGGGCGAGGCAAGCAGAAGAAGACGAAAGGAAAAGCCAAGAAGAGAAGGTAAAACAGGTGAAAGTAAAGAAAAAGGAGAAAGAAGAAAGGGGGCGACAAGAGGAAAGAAGAAAGCCAGAAGAAGCTGCAGCTACTAGGAAGCAAGAGGAGGCCAAGAGACATGAAAAAGAAAGGCAAAGGAGAGCAGAACAATAAGAGGAGGCCGGGGCTAAAGAAGAGTTTCGAAGAAAGTGTGGGAGATCTAATTTTAATCCATCCAGTCCTTGGTTTTGCTTGACTAGTATAGTGAATAAACAACTCTCCTACTAAGTTTATGTAATTAGATTCCATGTTTATGTTTGGTGTAGAATGCTTTCTGAATCTATGTTTTCTGGGTGCTGATCTAAAATGAGCTCTTTCCTTCTTTTTTACCCCTTAGAAAAACTTCACCAACCTGTGCGTTTCTTGGTTTATTCAAACTTCACGGTAATCGTTAGGATTATTTGTCATGCTATAAATCTGCACCTCCTCCTGTCATAAAAATGAGAGTTCATGGGTTTCTTTTTTTTTTTTCCTGATGAGCAAAATAAAATCTATGAAAGTTGTCAAAGCGGGAAGCAACAAGTAAATTACTTACTTGACAACAGCAAAGATCAAAATTTGTAAACAGAAATGAATATAGAAAAAGCAAAGATGAGTATTTCTTCCATTATGTTTCAAGCCAAGAACTGAACTAAATGAGCTTGCTAACCCTACAAGCCACCATAAATTTACCAATTTGGAGAAGATTCACACATTAGCAGAGCTAGTAATGTAAGACACAACAACAGTAATGTCGTCAAGCTTGCCACCATAATAGCGAAACCCAGCATCTTGAGCAGCTTTGGCAAATGGTGTCTGCCGGTTCCTATTCACTGCTCGTTCACGAGCCAAAGCTGCTATCTGCTTGGCCATCAATTCGGGACTGAAGCCAGCTCTTAAAGCATGAACAACAACAGCAGTAACCTCATTATTGTACAAGTTATCAAACAACCCATCTGTTCCAGCCACAATCACATCACCTGGCAGAACAGGAATTCTGAAAACCTGGACATATTATTCCAAAATGGTGGTTAGGTTAGTGACATTGAGCTGTGATTAGTCAAAATAGTTTTAGGGACTATCATTTTGATTTAAGGTCATACTAAGTCTTTTCAAATCTTCTATGGAAAAGAACATCCCATTTCATCATCTCATCAAACAGGAACTCTAAATGAAAAGAAAATGGAAAATTATATGGCTTCACAAGAGATTCAAAATCTCAAAAACAAGGAAGAGGATATAAGCATGTTTTTTATTCTAACTCTGAGCACCAAGCCATTTAAGAATTGCAGCCAGATGGGGACCAATGGTCAAATTTTTAACAATCTTTAGTTTTATTGAAATACAAAGTTAACCTTTAGCAAAACAAGATGCTAAAAAGAGCCAAAACAATGTCAGGATTTATTTTCAGTCCTATTCAAATATATTGTCTTATGGTCAAAAAAAAAAAAGAAAAAACACTATGATCAAACCCTTGTATTACGGTGCTGTAACAAGTCATCAACTAACCTGACCAGAACTTGGTAGATCACCATTATCACCGCTCTCCAATTGATAAGTAAAATTGAAACCATGTTGCTGCACCGGTGAATGGAAGACAGTGCAACCATCCCTAACCACTATGAAACCACTGTCTCCCAGATTTATTGCATGTATTCCCTGTTGAGAGAAGTGAAGTAGATGAATTACATGGCACATAATCTGCTTGCTAAAATCTTATTGGCCTTTTTTAGACTCAGGAAACCAAGATATTTAAAGTGCACAGAAAATCAAACTAGATAAAATTTTCAGGGCAATTAAATGAAAGGTCTATTCCAGTATAAAGAAATGGAATGAAACGAAAGCAGTTGATGCCTCTAAGACACAGATGGAGATACGGAAACAGATGATTATAAATAATAAAAGAAATAATAAAATAGAACTCAAGATTTTGCTGAGCTCCAAGCATTGGTGCCTGCAGAAAAAATTCAGCTCCCCGAACACTATAGCCACATTCTAGCCAAAAGAAGAAGAGATATTTCACTAGGTTCATCTATTCATGCAGTCAAAAAGGCTTCCTGCTGAGTTCACAGAGAATCAATAGTGAGGCAAGGACTTCAATTCTCAGAAACAGAGAAACTCTGCATCAGACAATTGTACCAACTACCAGACTAAAAATTAAAAGCTTAACCAATTTTTGAGAAAATAAATTCCATGATATCTCAAGGAAAAGAATTTCATTTCTTTCTTTCGTTTGTTTTGGTGGTGGGCAGGGATTTTGTGGGTGAAAATACGCAGATATACAATGTTCAAATGGTTCACATACAAAATAAAGAAAAATTACTCTTTTTGGCTGCACTAAACTTTTGAACCATCCACAAGATCGACAACAGTAAGAAACTATATTATCCAACCAAAACCAGTGGAATATATCAAGTGGAGCTCACCATAGCTTTTCAGTTATAAAAACCAAAATAAGTTTCATCATGATGTCAAATGAGAAAGAATTTCAGAAAGCTTTCTGTTTCTTCTAAGTATCACACCCTATAGGATCTAGCCTTCATCAAGATATGTCAAAGAAAATTCACCTAAAGATCATCTCTGCTCATGCCTATTAACATATAAAAGAATAGCCTTTGAAAGTGAAAAAAACCTCCTCTGTAAGGGCAATGATGCAGGCTGTTGAGGATCCTTGTGATTTTGTGCTTGAATGGGCCTTTTCTAGTACTCTAGCTGGGTCAATGAATCCCTTGGGTTCATCTTGGATTGCTGCCACTGAATTAGACATAAGTTCACGGGCAAATTCTCCAGCATTAATGCCAACTTCTGCCCAGCCACCAACACCATCAGCTACACCTATGGCTTGTTCATTGGCACAAATGAAGTGAGCATCCTCTCCTCCTGTTTCTTCCTTAGCAGGATGTGGCATATAATATGACGCTGAAAGTAGTTTCAATGTTTTCTCACCTGGAATAGCTCTGAAATCAACACCAAAGAAGCAAATTACGGAAACTGAGGACAAGCAAAGATGAGCAGACATATTGTAAGCCATTACTTAGAGATAATTTTTAAAAAAATATTGTAGACCATTAATTAAAGATAATTTTTAAAGAAAATAAGTAAAAAAGGGACAAAAAGCAACATATGAAAATAAATACAAGATGAGCAGACATACTGTTCAGGCAAATCTGCAGTCTGTTCATCCTTAGAACAACTATCAAATGACAATTCATGAGCTGCCCCAGCAGAGGAACATGGTAAAGATGAGGTGTGAATACCTTTCATCCTTGGACCAAAAGGAGGATTATATTTGGTATTTCTCAGCATTGCATCACAAATATAGTATCCACACAGAAAACGATTATTGGGTTGTTCTTGCTTTCTCAAGATCACGCTAGCTTTTTGGCAACTACTATGACTTCGATCAGCAAAATAAACCCCAGAAGGTTTCAAGAAGTCCAAGCCATTCCCACAACTTGCTACTAACTCATCTGCATAAACATCTCCAAAAATAGCCTTGGAACCAGACACAGCCATAGTTTTTGCCCTATTACAAATCTGGTTTGGAATAAACCTATAATCAGATATCGAATTCCTAGAATAAGGCAAAAATTGAGCAAACCCTGAATTTGCAGTCAAAATTTTGTGTTGTCTAAGCAGTGAGCTAGCTAAATTAAACAACCGAACTTGCTTTCCTGTAATTACCAGGTTTAGCTTAGAAAGCAACACAACTGGCATTTTTACCCCGTATATCAAGTTCCCTTAGTTCAATCACTCTCTGAGAGAATGTTGAACCTTGAATTGCATACAAAAGATTATGCATTTACGCGCATACAAACTATCAGCAATTTGCATTAGTTGTTCGCCAATGAAGCATATTTCTTTCAACACCTGAAAATAGCACACCAAATACAGGTAAATTCTATAAAACACACAAAATTCAACAATAAAAAAGAAAAATGGGAGAAGTTCAAATGGCCTAAACTAATTACATAGCTGAACAATTACTAAAAATGGGAAAACTATAGAAAAATATGAACTTTTCATGTCTTTAATGAAAACAAAACACAGTTAATCGTAAGAATTTCAATGCTGAGAAATATAATTTCCCAAAACTGAAACTTTCCACAACTATCCAACAAACAAATCGAAATACAATGAAACCCAACGCAAAAAAAGGGATAAAAGGAAAAAGAAAGCATGAAAATGAACCTGTTCAAGTGGCTTGTGGTGGGTAATCGGCTTATTATTCGATACCTGAAACTTAAAAGAAGACGAAACAATCGAGAGAGAAAGAGGAGGACCCGAAAGGTTTGATTCTTTCCAGATTGAAGCTCCGAATATGACCTGGATCCAATTCGACGATCTCCGGTGCTTCTTCTACTTCTCCGCCTCTCTTTCTGTTTCTCTGTGGCTGTGCAGCTGAGGGGCGGGAGACTCACTTATTACAAGAAAGCGCAGAGAAAGGGGAACACGGTATATCGTTTGGACACCAAACTCTATGTTGTTATATAAATTTTATAGACTGAAATAACCCCTTAAATTTTCCATTCGGGAGTCAATTCTAGGGCGTTTTAGGAATTAAATCTTCAATTTAAATCCGCAAACGGGTGATAATATCGAAGGATCGGTCCTTTGCTTTCTTTCTTTTTGTTTTTTAAACCTAGTCGACGTTTCTGGATCGCAGCTGAGCCAATAAAAAGGATGACAAGTGTGGGCCCTCCAAGACCATGAGAGTATGAGGTGGCGGTAAGTGTTGGATTATTGACCGGAAATTTTAATTTTTATTTTTAATCAAGCGGGGTTGGGCACAAACGTACGGTTAGAGTCTTAGGCTTTGTTGGAATTAAGGGTTAATACCGTGGTATTCTTTGAATATTGATTTAAATTTTATTTTAATTTTTAATTTTTATAAAATTTTAATTAAATTTTTAATTGTTTAAAATTATTTTATTTTAAATTTTTTATTTATAAAATTATCTAAATTGATGATAAATGTAAGTTAATATCACGTAATGATATTAATTAATATTTTATGTAATAAATGAAAAATCAAAATAAAATATTTTTAAAAGTTAAATACTAAAGACTAAATTATCTTAAAATTTTATATATTTTATATATATCTTATAAAAATATTAAAAATATTAAATTTAAAATTATGTTTACATATTTTTTATTATATTATAATTTATTAGATAGATTTTTATTTTAAATAAAAAATAGATATTCAAAACTTAAAATAAAATTAAAATTTTGAAATTTATTTTTTAATAATTCAATACATTTTAAAAACAAAAAAAATTATTAAAAAATATTATTTTACTCATAACATTTAATAAAAAATATTATTTTTATCCAAAATTTTATTTATTAAAATATTAAATATCTTTTATTTTTCCTTTTCAAATATGTTTCATAAAAAGGAAAAAATAAAAAATGTTATTAATTAAATTTTATTTAATATGGATATAAAATTTTTATATTTTTGAATAGATTAATAAATTTATTTTTGTAAAAGAATTGAAAATTTTTATATAATATTTTAAAATGATATAAAGTTTTAATTTAATTTCTTAAACTGATATAAAAATTTTTACTTAATTTTTTAAAATGATATGTAATTTTAATAAAATTATTTTAAAATTTTCAACTTAATTTTAATTATTTACAAAACTATTTCTAGTAAATACTATTCTATTAATAAATCATATCATAATAAAAATTAAAAAATATTTTAAATTATAATATTTTATAAAATCTATTTGAAATATATAAAAATCAAATTTTCTTGAATTTTATTATCTTTTCCTTTATTTATTTTTATAAAATATATTTGAAAAGATAAATAAAAAATATTTAATATAATATTTAATATTAATATTTTTAGAATATATATTTTATGGATAGAAAATTAATTGTTTGTTATAATTTATAAGTAAGATAATAATTTTTAATAGAAATTAATGTTTTTGTTTTCAAAATGATATTGAATTTTTTAAAAAAATTTAAATTTTTAACTTAATTTTAATTTTAAAAAAAACTATTCTATATTACAAGCAAAAAATATAACTAATAAAATATATTACAATAAAAAATATAAAAATATGAATTTATATTTTATAAAATATATATGTAATATATAAAATTTTGAGATAATTTTATTTTTTATTCTTAAATTCTGAAAAAATTATATTTTAATCTTTCATCAGTCAAGCGAGATATTAATTAACGTTATCACATAGTGTTAGCTAATGATGTTTCCGTAGACGAAATAACCAAAATAAAATAACTTTGACCAATTAGGATCTAATTAGAATTTTTTAAACATTAAGGATACAAATAAAATTTGAGTTAAAGTTTAAAGAATATATGTGTTATTTTTTATTCTAATAAAAATGAGTAAGATAAAAAAAAAATTATTAATTTAATGATTAAGTTATAAATAAATGATGGTTAGAGTTTTAGGTTTTGGTTGTTGAAGAGAATAAAAATAGGTAAAGTTGAAAATTTTATTAATTTAATAATTAAGTTATAAAATAAAAAAATAATTATGAATTTTAATTATTAAATTTTTTATTTTTTATTTTTTCATCTTTTCTATTAAATAAAACATTTGAGAAATGGTTGGTTAAAAAGTGAGTAAGTCGATTTATTTTTTAAATTTTTTTAGTTTTTTTAATTAAGCAAAAGATATTATTTATTTTAAATTATTTTAAATTCATAACTTTTAAAATATTAATCAAGTATACATATATAATTAATATTATGCTAGTATTCATTTTTTAAGTTAATAGAGTAAAGTATTATAATAAGATAAAAAGAAAGCTTTTTTTAGCACTTATTTTATTATTCAAATTGAAAGAAAAATGCAAGTACAACAAATCTTTCATTTTCAATTCGAGATATGCAAAAAAAGTTTTGATCCTATACGGGCTTAGCCAAAGCCACCAAAAAAAAAAAAAAGAAAAAGAAAAATAATAAAATCCTTATCCATTCTTATCTTTTCTTTTTTTTTTCTTAAAAAAAGAATAAACCTTTTTAGTGGTCGTTTTTGTCTAGCAAAAGAAAATTCCAATATGGGCCATGACTGTATCTGTCTCTGACTAGCATGGTCGATATGGGTGGGCTATATGGCTCAGCGAGGATATAATACACACTCGTACGAAACGATTCCATCTTTGAGTTGTCCCTTCCCACGTCGAAATTCATCCGGGAAGCTTTGAAATTTGAAACCCATTAATTGTTAATTAAAAAAAAAAAAACCTTTAGAAAGCGTTTTGTTCGAGAAAAAAAAATTAAATTATCGATTAAATAATGTCAAAAAAGAAAAATAATAATCGTAAATAAAAAATCCGTCTCACGTTGAGATTTTTTTAAATTCTTGAGGAATATAAATTTGTCTCAATTTTATTGTTAATAATAATTTTTTAAAATTTATTTTACTTTTAGAAATTAACATAATTATATAATGAATAAAAATTCATTCTGACATGAAAAATTAAAAAATTTTTACACAGCGTTATGGGGTTAAAAACATACTATTATATTATAATATGTTATAAAAAAAATTTAAGTATACTAAAAACAACTTTTTAAAAAGAAAAACGTAATTGATTGTTAAAAAATATGAATTTTGAAATTTTTTTATAATTTCGAAACCGTTATGTTTTTAACATATAAAACATTGATAGTATTTTTTTATAATAAAAAATATAGTTTTTGTTAAAAATATAAAAAAAATATTTTTTAAAATTCAACAAAAATAATACTTATAAAATAAAAAATGCAGTATTTATTAAAAATATATAAAAAAAATTTTAGATTAAAAAAATGATATTTTAAAGATAAAAAACAGTTTTTATTAAAAATACGATATTTTTAAGATAAAAACTTAAACGTTTCTAAAATAAATAAAAAAAAAACTCAATCTTTATTGAAAAAATTATATTTTTAAAATAAAAATATAACTTTGTTTACAAATATATAAAAAATATATTTTTTAAAATTCAACAAAAATAACACTTTTAAAATAAAAAAAAAGCAGTTTTTATTAAAAATATAAAAAAATTATTTTCTAAAATTTAATAAAAATAACATTTTAAAAATAAAAAAATATAATTTTTGTTGAAAAAAGAATGTTTCAGTATTATAAATATCATGTATTATTTACATATTATCAAAGATAATATAATAAAATATTTTATTAAATAATTTTACATTTATCTAAATTAAAAATATAAATAAAAATATTATATTCTCTAAATCAACAAAACTTACAAATCATATATTTCTCTTTAATATCACCTTTCCCTTAAATCACTTTACCTTCAGAAATATAAAAATCCACGGTAACGCCCCTTAATGTTTGAGCTCTTTGTCTCTCTAAATTGGATTTTAATCAGAATTTGAGCCTCTCTGGTACCATGAAAAAGCGTGTTAAAAGAAAAAAAAATAATGACAGTATGAACAGATTTTGCGTTTGACAAATCTAACAAATTTGCAGTCCTTCTATTGATATTGAATGCTTAGAAGTTTCTAATATCGTACTCATTGGCTTGATTTCGTTGTAAATTTGCAAACAATCCTCAGAATTACATGAATTTTTTTATTATCAACAAAAATTACAGAATCACATGTTTTTTTTTAATATTACTTTCTCTTTATACCTTATTTTTTTCCAAAATCTAAGAACCTACGAATCAAATTACCTTTAATGTTTAAGCTCTTTATCTCTCAAAATTGAATTTATCCTGAATTTGAGGCTCTCCAATACTAGAAAGAAGTGTGTTAAAAGAAAAAAATAATCATGACTGAATTAACAGATTTTGTGTTTGACAAATCTAACAAATTTGCAGTCCTTCTATTGATATTGAATGCTTAGAAGTTTCTAATATTTTACTCATTGGCTTGATTACATTGTAAATTTGCAAACAATCCTTGAAATTACATGAATTTTCTTATTACCAACTAATCAAATATGCATTCCACATAGCTTGGCAAATATTCTAAATACTAGAAACATAGAAGCAAAAACAGATATGGTGCAAAAAGGAAAAGCCAGCACAGATTTACAGACAAGAAATTTATTAACAGAGCGGAAGGTCAGGAGGTGGAGATGGCAAAGTTTGCATTTTGCCTTTCCCATTCTTCACTAGAAAAGCCATAGAGAGTCCCCATGTTGTGTGCACGTCTAGATGGCAATGCATAAACCAGACTCCTGAAATAAAAAATGCCCATTTCAGCTGCATAATCAAGATGATAATACAACATAATAAACCGAAACAATGAATGAAAATTTTGATGATTTAGCTGGGAATTCACCTGGATTATCAGCTCTGAATCGAATGACTGCCCATCCACCTACTGGCACACCAACAGTGTTTCTATATGGAGGATCATAGAAGTTAAGAATCGCAGTGGCGGAGTTGAAATTGCCAAGTCCTGTGCCCAATAAGTAGAAGCTAAAGCCATGAAGGTGTATAGGATGGTTCTCAGTTCCTACCGTGCCAGTGTCTTGAAATATGACTTGAACCGCCCAACCATACTCTAGGACACTCACTTGAGTCCCAATAGCTGGCTGTGTATCAACGCCAATGTTATTGGGAGCCTCATTCACAAAATCATACATCTTTTCCGGCTTATCGGGGAAATTTGTGCTGAAATATCCTTCTAAATTATTGTAGTAAGCATTTAGAAGAGACACCATTGGTCTTCTAAACGATATGTTGTTGACAGAAGCAGCAAAGATTCCCCCATTAGGCCCCTGGCATGATCTATCAGGATCAGATGAATTGCAGCTGAGCACATTGAGTCCAATTGTAAAAAACAAACTTTTGTCAATTTTCAAAGGAACGTCAATTGGGGACCAATGTTGGTTTGGGTATAGATTTTTGACTTGGTCTGCGAATGCTTGAACAGATTCAGTGTCATTTACATTAGGTAGGATTGGTTCATGAGGTATCATCGACCTTCTGAAAGATGACTTAAGAGCTAATTTGTCTACTTCTACTGTGGTTGATGCCATTGACTTTGTGTGTTTAACATAATCGAGAATTGCATAAGACGTTTTATTCAAGAAGGGAACACTTTTTGCTGGCATGTAAGGGGACAGGGCCATGTAGTATTTTCCAATGGGCTGGTCTGCTTTAATCAAGACATTGTAAGTCTGGCCTGGAGTTAGCATCAGAAATGAGGTATCGAAGGGTTTTGTGTATTCTCCATCTGCTTCTACAACAGTCATAGTATGTTGGGCCACCCCGAAAAAGTGTTCCATGTTAAGAGCTGCATTGATGATCCTGAGAAGATACTTCTTCCCCTGTGTAACATTAATGGTGTATACATCTGCACAAAATTAAATGAAAAGAACCCCAAGATCAATATTTAACAGCAAGGAAATCAAGATATGCTTGTTGGTTCAGTGATTTAAAGACGATACCGTCTCTAGAGCAGTTATGGAGGGGACCAGGATGACCATTCAAAATGTAGGCATCTGAGCCTGGGGGACCTCCTCCTGATTCTTTCACTTGTCTTTCCAAGTCCTGGATGTCTCGAAGCCAATACTCTCCTGTTGAAACAACACACCACAAAAGCATGCCAAATTTTCTGATACATATTGATATATATCCTGGCAGACTAAGAAGCTTGGTTAACAAGAAATGAGAAACGAAGTAGAAATTAATACCAAGTACAATCACATGCTCTTCAACGGGAGGCTCAAAGGGGTAGCTAACACCTTGCTTAGGGTAGATAATGAGGGGACCATGAACTGTTGCTCTTAGCCATGATATGTGAGCATGCCAGAAGAGTGTGCCTCGCTGGTTAAGAAAGGTAAACCTGTATTTGAAACTCTGGCCTGCCTGGATTGGACACTGAGTTATGTAGGCAGGGCCATCAAACCAGCAAGTTAGCCTTTGACGAACTCCATGCCTTAATCAGACACCAAAATCAATAATATGTTACTGCTATGCTTAGCATCAATATGGTGTGCTAGATGGAAAAAATGAATGAAATTTCCTTACTGATTTGCTTACCAGTGGATTGAAATGTTGTATGGAGTAAGATTGGTGACCTTGACAACCACTCTATCGTCTTCCCGAGCATAAATGGTAGGTCCAGGATACATCCTGTTTACAGTGACAACAGTTGATGTCTTGCATAGTTTTGTAATAGATGCTGTTTGAACCTGTTAGTTAATTCAGTGACGTTTATTCCTTTCTCTAGGACAATTCACAATTCACAAGATGCTGAAATTGAAGATTACGAGTAATACTTAACAGAAATTTATATAGATAGACTGCCATTACTACTGACATATGATCACTGATCTATAATTTTCAATAAATCTATCAGGTTCTGCTATTGTTATCACCAAATTTCCACATGACAATTAGCAAAAAACCTCAACATTACTTGTTCAGGGTAATGACATTTCCAGGCAAATCACTTCCCTATCAGTAACTAGGAATAGCATAACCCAAAAAACTAAAGTTTCAGGCACAACTTTTTACTTTTCAAATAGTTACAGAGAATTTTTTTTTTTTTAATTTGAGAAGCAGAATCAAAATTGATACTGAGCAAGATACATTAAAGGACCGGGCCCCTTAATCGATAAGTCGACAACTAGAAATTAGTGCTGTCTAGCAACTGCAAAAGGAGCAACCATCAATGCCTCATTATCCACGAGGACTTAGATTTTTCCCCTGTTAATGTTTAATATCTAGCTATAAACACAGGATTGCATTAAGCATCACCTTAAAGTCGTAATATCTTGTAACACTCCCTTTAGGCCATGCTTTAAGAACACCACCATTAATGAAGAAGAACAAAAGAAACAAGAAAAACCTGCAGCAACCTTTTCCCATCTTATTTTTGAACATGTCCATGCACAAAACAAGCCTGAGGACCAAATTTATACGAACACCTTGGTCATCAAAACCCATGTTTGGAGCAGTTGAGAAAAAAACTACTGCTAACATTCTTGATAGTAGGAGACAAGTTTTTGTGTGTATCCAAAGCGTAGAACTTTAAGGATTCTGTGGTTTGGTTGACGGTCAATGTATTGAACATGTAAAAATTATGGTTATGCATCATCAATTATTTCCTAGTATTTGGATTTTTGAGCTTTCAGTTTCAGTGCTTGGGCACTCAAATGGAAAGCTGAAGAGGTACACCTAATCAATTGTCTGGTCCAAAACCTGACACATGCTTACGACAATGTTTTCATCTTCAAATGAATTTGTAAATGCAGAGAAATAGAAGTTGCTGATTGTATCAATCTTATTCTGCCCTTCAATTAGAAGCAGTACAAGAATTTGGGATTCGTTCTTTTGGAGATTGAATATACCTTCAACCATTCAACTAAAGATAAATTAATAGGATAGGAAAAAACATGATGCAAATTTTTTTAAGCCCAAAGCTTCATAATCGTGATTGGACTTTTTTTTTTTAGTTGATGCTTTGCCAGCTCTAATCCAGGACAACAAGTGACATTTTTATAATTAAGGGGAATCAAATCATTTAATGTGAAATATTGATCGACTTTCATATCAGAATTAGAAATTGCAATCATCAAAAACAAAACGGATATAACCATTTTTTTTCTTCTTATTTTAATTTAATCAAAATAAAAAAGCTTATGAATGCAATAGTGTTTGCCTAACTGAAAACTGTAACAAAACCGCAAAAGATTTTATTTAAAAGGAAGTAGACCACAATTAGACATATTCTTAAATCTGGCGTGTGTTATGCTTTGTTCAATCATCAAAGCTCAAAGATTATTATACTATTTCTACTTAACTGCCACGACTAAGATTAAATTACTAAAAATTCATCAAATTGCAGTGAAAACAGAGGAAACAAATGTGGAGGAGAGAAAGACAGGACAGCTAAGGACGTAAGGGGTGGCCGCTAAATACAAGAGCATGTAAGAGGGCAGGTTTTACCTGAAACTGGAAAACGACAAGGAAGCAAAGACAGAATCAGATTGGACTCTCAACAATGGAATTCAAAGGGGCCATGGCATTTAAAATCCTTGCTAGAAAGGTTTATTGAGACGACATTTTTTATGGGGTAAGGACTTCGGAACACTTGAGAAATTAAAGAGGGACCCCAATAATATCTTCATTTGATTTTCCTATCTCCAATTTCGTACATGAAAATAACTCTACATTGCACAGTTACAATGACTGAGCCTCTCTGTCTGACTGCATTAACTTCTATCTTATCTCATAGGAACAAAAAAAAAAAAAGGCTTTTGCTCTATCTTTCAACAAGAAACCAGGCTAAATTAAATTTGAGTTCATTCCCATGATCCCAGAATGAAAAACAAAATACATAAAACAACAAATTTAAATTAATTGCAAATATAAATAACAGATGGAATTGTTTAAGGTTGGCTTGGTTCGAACAAATTGGAACCTTAATCCAGTCCACTGATCAGGATCAACCTAAATCCTTCCATTTTCGGCAATTTGACAGTCCATGTTGGGATTCCACTTTACTGCTAAAATTTCCACTACACATCCGCCTATGCCCGGGCTAAAAATCTAATAGCTAAAACACATCCCATCTGCTGTTTACAGATGTTTCCAAGCTTGACAAACCTGATACAAAGAATGTCGGAATTACAGAGATGTCGCTGTTCCTAGAGCAAACTTACAATTCCAGTATCCTAATACATCTGACTTTTGAATTTTCCTTTTACTACAAAAGCTATACTGCAACAAGAAAAGTCATTTTCGCCATTGTCATGCACATGGCAGCAGAACAATAAAAAAGACGCAAACTGCCTCTTTGATGCCTTGATGCTAACCTCCTCCACAATGGCAATTCTTTATGGAAAATTATATATTACCATCGTTTTCTTCTTAACCCAGAATAGTTCGAGATCAGGTGGCCCTGTGCATTTTATATTTTCCCCAAAGTCAAATGGACAAGAATAATTCTTATTTATACCAAGTCATGAGCTCCTTCCAATGTCCTTGCTGGTAAAATCTCCACCTCCAAAAGATGCTGCTGCTGCTGCTGCCGCTGCCGCTGCCGCTGCAGCAACATCAAGTCCACCTCCAATGGAGGTAATTAGAGCTGACAGGCCACGATTGGGGCTGCCACCTGCAGCCATCCCCAACCCAAGAAAATCAAGAGTAGTTTGCTTAGGACCAAATACGGGAGTTCCCATCATCAATTCCTTTAATCCTGAACTTCCATCACAAGGAAGCCCAAGTCCAAGTCCTGCTGCAACAGAGGCATTGTCAGGCTCAACTTGTATCTGACCCCATTGCAAGTTATCTTGCTGTGCAGACGATGAAGATGATGAAACTATACCAAAACCACGAAGCAAGGATGCATTAGTTGCTGCTGCTCCCATCTGAGCAGCTTTCTGCAGTAGTGCTGTGGCAGACATAGCAGGTTGTGGTGGTGGTGCATACTGCCTGCGCTCTTGCCTTGCGGTCCCGAATATTGATGAACCATGGTTGGTTGAGAGGCATAGAGAAATTGGTTCATTAGATGTTGATGGAGCAAGGTCAGCTGGATGATCTGGGCGACCCATAGCTCGAATTAAGTCAGTAAAAGCCGGAGGTTGAGGAGGTTGTAAGCTCACAGATGCAGCTGAGGATGCAAATAAGCTTGCAAATACACTGCTGCTGCTGCTCCCATTGCTACCTGAGCTGGTGCTACTGCTACAACTTCCATTTCGGCCAGCTGGTGCCGGAGCTGGAGCCAAAGCCTCTTCGACAATAGAAGCAGGATTTTCAGGCAACTCTATAACAAGAACCGAGATAGACGGCAAATAGAACATTAGGGGACCTGTCTTAAAAGTCTAAAACATAGAGGCATGGAAAGTTAAAAGACTTATCCTTACGAAAGAACTTTAGAGCAAAAAGCAAGAATCAATAATGGTTTCCTTTCTGTAAATCCACTTCTCTTTTCTTTTAACTTTTGAATCACTTTGGTCTTTTATCAGGATTGCACAAATTGAATTTCACAGTTTAGAAAATAAGTTAACTTTCCTTCTTTCCTTCCCCTCTCAAATCTCAGTCTTAACTTTCCTTCTTTCTCAAATCTCAGTCTTAACTTTCCTTCTTTCCTTCCCCTCTCAAATCTCAGTCTCAATAGCCCAGTTAGTAAAACCTCCAGATAACAACAAAGACCAGTAACAGACAAAAACTACTACGTTCCAAGACTCATCCAAAGACATAATAAGAACAAAAAAAAGCTGTCTTTATTTAATTTAAACAAAATAAGAACGGACAAAACTGAAACTACAAAGATCGAAAATTTCCAAATTCGGTAACATATAAAACTTACCACAATTTTGAACTGGCAAAACTGAAGTAGATATCACACTAGTTGACTGAGGCCGAGGCGGTGCAGCTGGAGTTGGAGCTGGAGCTGGGGCGGAAACTTGCACTGGTGCTGGTGCCGGAGCCAGAGACGACACCGGTGCCGGTGCAGGTAGTGGTGATGAATCCACAGCCTGAACTTTCAGGTCGGATTCCGAACTGGGATTCGCCACAGGATGATTCTGATTCTGAGGCTGAGGTTGTGTTTGAGCTCTAGCACTCTCTTCTGCTAACGCATCACAGAAAGCCCGATGGGTGACAAAACTATCCCTTCTGCAAAAAACAAAAACAAAATTAGCAGTCAATCCCACAAAAATGTCCAATTTTTTCCGATTCAAATCGAATCTTTAGATTGTTTTGAATACCTCGAAAACAGAGTTCCACAATCACATTTATACTCTCGAGTACCACAAATCTTAGAGTGAGCTTTCCAATCAGATTGAACAGCGTATTTTTTGGAACATTTATCGCATTTCCACTTTTTTTCTCCATGTTTTCTACAGAAATGTTTCTTAATTCCCGTAAGATCGCCTAAAGCTCTTGATGGATTGTGATGAACACAAGAGGGCTCAGGACAAACATAAACTCTCTTCTTCACTTCTTTACTCGATCTCTGCCTCAGCTTCCACGGTAAATTATGACCTCGCTTATGAAGCTGAAGATTTTGGTCCCTTTGAAACCCTTTATTGCAAATTTCACAAACGAATCGGTTCGTTGCTAAAAGAGTCGTCGGAGATAAAGCAATCACCTCGGCATCTGGATCTGTAGCAACCAAAAAAAAAAAAGAAAATTGATAACAAAATGAAGCACCAAAAATAGACAAAGGACAAAGTTTGGATGTTTATTGGTTATTAGATAGCTATATTTTACCGTACCTGGCATTCCAGGGAGGTTACGTTTCTTCTTGGCGGTGGTTTTGGGAGGTGGGTTTTGGTTACCGGAGGAAGAGACGCTAGCTTCACCGGAACCGGTTGAGGAATTATCTAAGTCGACCGGCATGACTTAAAAAAAAAAAAAAAGAGAGAGAGAGAGCTTTCTTTGAAATCAAACTACTCGACAAAAAAAGAAGGTGAAAATCTAGAGCATTTATCTCACAATTCTAAACTATCTTTTTCACACACGAAGTTGGTATGTCTTCTTCTTCTTCTTTCTATGGCCTTGTTTTTAGTTCTCTCTCTTTTATCTACCAGTCAATCTGTGCTTTTGTTTTCTTCTTTTTTTGCTCTTTTTGCCACCTACCAGCTCCCTACCGAGTCTCTGACCAAAATTCACGTTAACCAAAGAAGCTTAATGATTAAACCCAAACACTGAAAACCAGCTCTTTCCGCTCAAGAGCTTTAAAGTTCAATCCAAAACCCACCCAAAAGGTTAGAAAAAAAAAATCAAAACCCAGAAAGCAAATCCAATCAATAAATCCTGCAGCTGGAAGATGCAACGGTCAAAGCTGAATCAAATAACATAACAATCTCAATAAAACAGAGAAAGAGGATCAGATATGGATAAGTTTTATATAAGGCGGCTCGAAAAGAACACAGAAGAAGAAAGAGAGAGAAAAAAAACAATTACAGAGAACTTCATGTGAAAGTTTTTAGAGAAAAGGAAAAGAGAGTGAGAAATCTTGGTAAACTTCTTTGGTCTAATTGTTATTGCTGGCTTACTTTTCAGAAGAGAAATAAAATAAAAATTTTTATAGATTATTGTTAAGTAAGATTTTATTTGTATTAATCTAATACAACACATTGTTTTAACAACAAATAAGATTTGATTAATGGGCTTTGGGCAAGTTGTCGGGGGGTGCTGTTTTGTCGTGTAGTGAAGTGGTCTGAACTTCTTTTGGACAAGAGCTGAGGGGCCGTCGTTGCCCTTTGGTGTTGCTTTAAATTCATCTAAAGTCAAACTACTTTTTCATTGATTGTAACTTTTTACTGTTTTTAGCCAATTCAATTTAGCCACGTGGCTTGGTTTACTAGCACTAAGCACGTTTGATAGTTTTCCCCTTTTCACGTTGATATTCTTTTCTTACAAAACAGAGCAACTTGTCTTGAAGGGGCAATAACCCCTTTTTTTTAATAATAATCCTTAGATTTTTTTTCTTTACCTTTCTTATTTTTCGTTTCAAGATGATAAAAATTGAGTATATGTTTTGAATTTGATTCATATCTCCCCTTTTAATTTTTTCTTCAACCCAAATCTACCAAAAAAAAAAAAAAGGGGTTTATGCTTTAGGTAAAGAAAATTACATAAATTTTATATATCATCACTTCATTTTTTTTTGTGGATAATTGAAATAAAATCATTACTCAAAGAAATAAGAAAAATATTTGGAAGGTAATGATATTATTTAAATTGCATATCAACAGTAATAATTAGTAGGATTCTATTAGCTCTAAATTTTAAATGCCATGGCCCGTTTGAATTCATTACTTGTCGAATGTGATAGATATAATTGTATCATAAATTATATGTGTGATTCATTTTATACGTTTAGGTATATAAAATAACTATTTTATGTAATATATTTCAATTTTAAACGTCATTATTATTAGTTTTTTTTTAGGTTTGCATCGAGTCAACAAAAGATCTAAAAATATAGGTGATCTTACTCATAACTAATTTAATATTATGTAAATATTATAGTAAAGCATTAATGAATTAGGCATGACATAACATAGCCAAATACTCCATATGAGAGATAGCCAAATACTCCATATGAGAGATAACTTTTGTTACTTGATTCGGTAAATTTTAATTAATGACAAAATTAATATTAGTGACCTATCTTTTATATCTCAATTGGCTAAAATAATAAAAAAAAAATTCATGAATTTTATTAATTTATTTAAATAATTTTTTATATTTTATTACATTTAAATAAATTTTTAAATTTTAATTTGTATTTAAATAAATTCTTAATCTCTAACTTATATATAAATAAATTCATAACTTTTAATTTGTACATAAATAAACTTTTAATATAAATTAATTTTTATTTGAATATAAATCAAAAAATAAAAATTTATTTGTGTATAATAAAAATATAAAAATTTATTTTAAAAAAGTTAAATAGTTTTTTTTTTTAATTTTAGCTTTTGCATTTTAACTGATAATCCATGATTTTATGGACGATTTATTAGTCGTTTTAAGTTTATGAGACAAATGTTTTCGAACATTATATTTTAGAATTATGGTTTCCTCTCCTTCATATAGATAAAAGGAAAACAGTTAAAACTTTTTAAAATACGCATAATTGAAAGAATGAAAATGAAATTCTTAAGCACGACAAGGAAGTAAAACCAATTTGCTATTTCATAGAGCTGATGATTCTGCATTTGGCGTACACGCATCAATTGTGTATTAAGTTGGGATATCTTTAATGTTTGATGATCGAAGCACACATGAACAGAAAAAAAAACTTTTTTTTTTTGTTTTTTGAGTAGTTTCATTTTTATATATTTGATTCTTGTTTAGTTTAAAGATAACGACGATAAGGTTTTGAGTTTAAGTAAGAGGTTAGAAGGGATATACAACCATAAAGCCGGCATGTTTTTCTTTGCACAATCATCATAACTTGCTTTGACTTGGGTGCTTTTCTTCAATTTTTTTTAGTTCAAACTCTGCATTATTCTAGCCAGCCAGGATATGGGCCCTCCACGATGGTAATGTTTTTTTTTTTGGTTCTTCCCTGTCAGAGACGGCCATGGCCACCTTTGCCATCAAAATCTCAGCTTAATTAGGTTAAGCCATATGTACTATTTCCATTCTGAGAACTTAATCCCTGTGTCTGGACGACTTCTTAATGATTCAGTCAATTTTCAAGCTTTGCCTGAATTATTTTTTAGACGAATTTAAGAATGCACTATTTCTTATTGAATTCAAAATCTTTATCCTGAAATGCTCTCATAACGATCACAATGGACCTTAAACACTATTTTTTTAATCTTATTTAATAGTATTGCATTAGTGATTTGTAGGGGCTACAATCATTCCTCATCTTAGGTAGCCTTTTTAATTTTGAGCCTGTTTCTCTTTCCTCTTATATTACCAGCTCAACGGTAAAAAGAAAGTGTTACGGTCATATCAGTCCAATATGGAGGATTATAAAGGAAAGAACTTTACTTTTAACCCACTCTCTGGCTTATTGTTTTCCTACTAGCCATGATCCAGGTCCCACTTTCCTGATGGAGCCTGGATGGAGGCTGTGGGCCAACTGCTTAAGGTAAAAAGCGCCAACTGCTTTTGGTTTCTAACTAGAACCAACTATTTCACCATCCATGAAAAAAGAAACCAAAAGCTCACTTATCGGAAACCTACTGGTAAGAGCAACCAGGCATCCTGCTGTCTCAAGAGCCATGACTAATCAGGAGTGCTGAAACATCACCACCGTACCGAACAGACAGCATTTTCTCTGCCAAGTTACTGTAATACGACAAAAAAAGGAACCATCAACAAGCTTGACTAACTTTCTTTCTTGTGCTTTATATTAAAAAATTAGACTTTTCCTTTTCATTTTCCCCATTTTTTTCTTGCTTTTCTTCCCTTTCTTGCTCACGAAGGTTAAAAATTCCAACACATTGCATATGCCCATCTAAATTCTTGACTTCCCATCAGATTCTAACCTGGGAATGAGACTATTGGCATGGATACTACATAAAATTTTAGTAGATTCCTACCAAAGAAGAGACCTATGTTTCTTAATAATTATCATAGACAAAGGGAATGGAAAATAAAAAAACAAGGGGTAATGTCACATTTGAAAGATTATTTGTCAATTATGTGTGTTCATTAAGAGCTAATAATTTTAAAAATAAATATTATATTAATTAAAAATATATATAATTTGATTATTATCTTAAAATTTTTTAAATTTAAATATCATATTAAATATTTTATTATAATTTAAAATATTCATAAAATTAACTAAAAAACAATAATATTAAATAGTCAAAAAGGTGTTGTTTATCTCCCTGGTTCCCCTGCCCTGTTGTTTTCATCATCTGGTTTACCGGGTCACGCTACCTAATGGAAAAATACAGGCCATTGACTTCCCAATGATGCAATTTTCAGTATTCTTTTTATTATAGGTAAGACGAAACGAGGAGGGGAAGTGAATATCTTGTTGTTCCAACCAGTTCCAATTTTCAAACATGTCCACTAGAGAAAAAAGTTGATGCCATCCTTTTTATTCAGTATTTCCCCATTCCCACCTCCCCTTTTTCTTCTCTTCTTTTGCGAATTGATAGAGACAGGATATGTCCCTGGTTCCAATGATGTCCCATTGTAATGATCTGCGGCTCTGACAAATTAAATACTGAATTTATGTTTATAACGAAGGGTAGTTAATTTTATGACTGTTTACAAAGATGAGTTTGATCTATAAAATTAAATTATCGTAGAATAGAATAAGATAAAATAATATTATTTTATTTTATATTTAATATATATAAGAATTATGATAAATTAAATAATTTTTAATATAAAAAATAATAAATAAGATAATATGATAATTATTTTATATTATATTTAATTTATAAATAAAAAAAAGATAAGATTATAAAGAGAATAAATTATCTTCTTAATATAAGATAATTCAATTTTTTTAAAATAAAAAAATTATTTTTTATTCATCAAAATTAAATTTACATATCATATTAATATTGTACTCTTAAAAATTATTTAATAATTTAAATTATATAAATTTTGAGAAAAAATAATTTTGACTAATAAGTAAATTATTTTATCCTAATTTTTATACACATTAAATACAAAACAAAATACTATTATTTAATATAATTTTATTTATCAAATACGTCCTAAATGTATTGGACTAAACCATTTTGCCAAGCTCGAAATCAATGATAGAAAACTAGGTTTTGCAGTAAGGGAAACATCTTCTCCCCAGCTGTGAAATTTACATTTTTCTGATATTGTTTTCATATTCAAAAGCCATTCTCTACCAGTTGAAAAATATAAATACCATACAAGGGAAAGCTTCCTTGGAACAGTCAAGAAAGAGCAGAAGAACAATCATCCATTAATAGGATTGCTGCCTTGGATACTTACCAATACGTTCTCAGAAAGTAAATTATCCAATGCTTCCTCAACAAGATGATTAATGATTGAAATCCTGTTTTTCCCTTCAAAATTATACTCAAAAGCTTGTTTGACTAAGATTGAAATCATCAGGGGCTGTTAGGTACACCTGTTTTACAACCTTAAAGCTAAGCGCTTTCAGATAACTAGAAGAGAAATGGAGCAAAATGGTCCAGAGTGTTATAATTATGATAGGAATTCCATTGATGCAACAGGAAATTCCAATATAAAACTTGAAAAAAATTTCACATTTGAATATTATTTGATTTTCTCATTTTTTTTTATGCTTTAAAGTCAAATTACAAATGGAATTGCTGGTTGCAACTGATTTATAAATAAAAAATAAAAACCTGGAAATTGAAGAACCTTGAGCAGACAATGACATTAATAATAAAAGGGAAAAAGTAAATATCCTTTTGTATAAAATTTTGGGGTTTTTTTGTTTATTCAGCAGCCCATCTCTCCCATGCAAATAACAAGAAGGAAAGGAAAGGAAAAGGGGCAATAATGTGGCTGCAGTGAAGGTCTCATATATAGAAATTCCAAGACAAAAAAATCATGACAAAACCACATTGATTCATGCCTTTATTGGTTGACTAAAGGATTGATCTTCTTCAACACAAATTGTAAAAACTTTTCCACAACTTGCCAAACTGTTATAATAAGATTCATTAATCCTCTCAATTCAACTGTAAAAGTTTAGAACTTACTTTTTTTTTTTTTTTTTTTGGTCAGGATTGAATTGTGATATCTTCAATTAAAATCTTAATATTTTATCTTAAGCTAATTGATGTAATTAAGCTAACAAAAAATTAAAAACAGTAAATAAGTAGTAAAAAAAGAAGAGCATGTTACATTTGTCCATCCTCGTGACACGTGTCAAGATTCAATATGTCA